CCCCATCATTTATGCTTTGCGTTAACTCCGAATAAAAAGAATAATACAGATTACAGACACAGTCATTGCCATCGACATTGTGAAAAGATATTCCCTTACAGTGAATATATATAATCCGGCACGCGTATATATATGAGCGTCGAAAATAAGATGTATCCCAGTATAGTCTCCATTGGCATTGGGGCTTATCTAAAACCATGTACCATGTTTTAGAAGAAGTTATCCATTCTGGTTTCTTCAATGCAAAACTGACTTTGATTTTCTATTAACATTAAGACACTCCTGCAAGGCCAAGGGTGTTTGAGGGACTAAAAAAGATTTTAGAACGGTTTTCATGTAGTTTAAATTTAAAACTATATATTGCGTCTATGATCGCTGTCATAACTACTGTGCATATAAAATTAAAAAAAAAAACAACGTCAAAGAAGTGACACAATATCCGTTACTTGGTTGCTCGAGTGGTTCAATATAGTCATTATATAGAATCACTGAATTATTTTATTTTGATCTACTTACACGGCTACGGATTACAGTGTTACATATTGCGTTTAATTATTTTATTAACTAAGTAAAATTTATAAATTAAAGACTGAAACCTGAAAGTGAAAGACGGAGTCCATAGGCATAGCATTCACAATATTAAACTTTCATAGGAGAATTAAGGCCGCTAGATCAGTATTTAATTAAACTATTAAGAAACTATTTAATTTAGTTCTGCTGGCATGATTTTCTTTTGTGCTATATAAGACGCACCTAACTCTTAATTCTTGTGTAACCGTGTTGACTTTGGGCAGGATTTTTCAGTGTTATTGATACTCTGCCCTACTCGGTGTCTCGCCGTCATGTGATGTGTAAGAGTAACTGTATGTATATCATCTGACTCTGCTGTGAGTGATTGCATGCATATATATCATCTGACTCTGTTGTATTGGCTTTACCGTCAGTTTAGCAAATTAAGATGCAACTCGTCCTAATACGCCCTAACTTTGTTACTGATATCCTGTCCACGCCAGATAATTTTAGTCGTATGGGGGTGTGTGTAAAAAGCGAACACTTTCAAGTCTTGGTGCCTGGTGGTTAACTTATTATAATGCCAGGGTGATTCAAACAATCAAAATTAAGGTCTCTAAACAGCACTCGCTTCCTTTCCATTCTCGTTTGGCGGTGTGCCACTATTGACTATTGAGTATTGTTGAAAATTGTCCCGTATAAGTAACTTTAGACGTGATCGCCATCTCAGGTGAATCTTTTGAAAATCTGCCAAGTACTAGCTAGTACTAATGCAATTATGAAGAAAGATTAACGAACGACCGGTTGTCACAGGTACAGCAGACTGTTCGACTCACGAATGCGGAAACTAATCGAACCACAAATGGCACCACATTTGTGATATCGCGGGCAGGGTATAAATGGATCGTGCTTTAAATTAAACAAAACTCGAAGAGTATCGAGATTTATTACAACAAAATACTTGTACAGTTATACTGCCTCAATTGAGATAATAATCATAATATACTAACACCCACTGGGTACTGGACACGAAACTCACGAACTTCACTTTATATCTGACTAATTATGGCTATGGGCTTCTATAGAGTATAGGGAATTGAAACATTTCCCGCTATAGTATAGCCATAGCCCATGGGCCATGGCCTCTGGGCCGTGGCATAGGCAACCTATAGCCTATAGGCTATAATGCCTATATTAGTATATACTATATAGACTTTTTTCGTATGGGAGTTGGCCTTGCTTGGGTCGGTTAAAGTCTTGTTAAAGACTCAAATCTCAAGTCTACAACAGTAATTGGAAAACGCTCTTTTTCTGCTTTGAATTAGTTTTGTAATCCTCGTTTCTATTCGCGTGAATTTTTGATGGTCTATCATTTTCGTTTCGAACCACAACAATGTCTGCAATCTCCACGCATGCTGGGCAGACAAACTCAAAGAACTATATTCAAATATATTTGAATGCAAATCACATGTGGTATCACTGACAGCAGACTCGAACAGTGGGAACATCGAAGCCAGCTTTTGTTAGCAAACATAAACAAAACACGTGTCATTTTGCTTCGGCTTTGCTTGTCCTTTTTTTTCAGTCTCGTTTTTCTTTTTCCGCGTTCCTACTATATGAATACGTGCGTGTGTTTACAAACAGTCCGCACTGCTGACTACACAAGAGCTCTTCGAAAACGTAGTTATAAGAACTTGAGAGGGCTAGGCGCCACTCAACCGTATTATGGCCTACTATCACTAAATTTATTCCTTTGATTTTGATTAGAAATAAACATTGAAATAAACGGAAATATATATAATGACCAAAGTTCCCAAGTGAACAATATTTCATTTTTGAAATTACTTCGTCTGAGTGAAGGTTAGAGCTATTCTGCTATCGGGTTAATACCATAGATATCTATGGTTAATACAGTGGCGTGTCGCCTTTGGTCAGTAAAGTTTCCGATCGTTAATTATGATTCTAGTAGGCATTCTTTTATTTACACATGAACCAAACACCCACTGGGCACTGGCCACTGCACTGACACTGTTTACTGTTAAATTATATGCTCTATGACGACACTGACATGACAAACATGAAATGAATTGCAGTGAGGGAGAGCATGAACGCCAAACGTGTTTATTATATGCGACCGAAAAAATATTGTATTAAACATGTTTTGTTTAGTTTAGATAATTAATAATAATATCGCATATATAAGACAATAAGACACCTAACTCCTTGAAATATCCATGGAAATATCATTATCAAATATCCAACACGAGAGCTCGCTGCTTAGCAACACCTCGCCATCCGTAACTGCGTTTTGATTGGAGGAGAAAAAATGTCTGACGTCACAGAGGATTATTTTCTTTCAACAAAGAAAATCCTAAACAAAAAAATATTTGTGTGTTGGATTTGGATGGTTTGGACGAAACAAAGTACTCCATTTGAGAAACGAGAAAGATCTGTGTGTTCATTCGCCTTACACGAACGTTTGTGGACGTTTAGTCACTGTCAGCGTGCTGTTCTTGGTGAAAGATTTCATTCAAAATACATCGCAACAAGACGCCTTCGCGACTATTAAAGTTATACAGTTGTATTTGTAAGATTGAAACGCGTTTGTTATTGAAAGAACAGTGGCTACTAAACGATTAGATATGAAGGACGAAATCCAAACGGCGTGTAGATTCATTTATCACATGTTGAAAAAGAGTTGTAGATTGACAGAACAACAACTACAACAATTTACGAACAAAATGCAAGATGTTCTATTTGCCCATTTTCGCCATCACTGGCATCTGGAAAACCCTCAACTGGGAAGCGCTTACCGATGTATTCGGATAAATCATATCATGGATCCACTTGTCGTAAAAGCTGCCCATGAATGTGGTGTAAAAATATCCGATTTGTCCCTTCCGAAAGAATTTACGATATGGATTGATCCGAATGAAATCTCATATCGTTTTGGGGAAGACGGCTCCATTAACACAGTGTCAATAAAAGAGGAAAGAAATGAAGGCAATAGCTCGTTTGAAAATATGTTTTTGAATCGTCAGAAGTCGCATCCTTGTGGTATGAAACAAAGTAAAGTGAACACAATGAATACAAACATCATTTCAGTGCCAGAATGCGTATCTTCGTAGTCTACAATATTGCAGACGAATAGATTTTTAAAGGTGACGCAAACATTTCCGGAGGTCAATAAAAGACCTCTTGTAGTTGTAAAGTTAGGGAATTATTTTAATGTGTTTGCTGTAAATTTGTTCATACATATAGTGTAAAATATGTGTAAAGATGTTGAGTTGTAAAGTAGACTTTCACTGACATGCAGCTAAAAGCAATTTTCAGATATTCTTAATAATGAAACTTGCTGACATTGACATTTTATTCAATAGATTATTTCATATTTTGTACAACAACCAGGTCATTTTACTTGTAACACAGTTTATATTTCAGCTATTGAACTTGTAAAGTTTATGCTTACACATCAATTAATTAAAGTTTGTTTCTTGAATCATGTGTATTTTACCATTTCTTTAAAATTAACCCAAAACCAAATCCCAAACCACTTTGTCTGGAGTATGTATTGGAAGTTGTAGTTGTTGATAAACAGGTACTGGGAGTTTCGTGTTTTAAATACAATTTGATTAAACCACCAAATTATTGAGAGAAATATCTCTTATATTTGAAAAGAGGGACAACATTCACTGCGAGGTTCTTGGAAAACTAGTGAATTCCAAATATCAATTGGAGAAAAGTTTAATACTATTATTAACAGATACTTAGTAAACAGATACTTCTATGTGATTTAAGCTGCACCACCCTGCAATTTAGATCTATGACTTAGTCACAGAATAGGGTTCAATCCCTATTCTGTGATTTAAATTTACACTCTACCACTATATTTTGTGACTGTGACATCATGATATAAATATAACCCACAGTTGCTTTCACAGCAGGATGACTATAAACATCCTGCATTTGAACATCTGGATCCCGTCAGATTTTTTTTTGTAGATTTCAGTACAATACTATTGATGTATTTATACATTGATTGATTATATTGCAGGAATAGAAAATGTCAAAATAACATAATACTGTATCTTGTCCATTCAGTCCTGGAAATGTTTGATTACCCACCAGGCCCAACACCCAAATGCAAAAATTGAAAGCCCTCAATGTTGAAAAAATGTTGCAATGTTGCAATGTTGAAAAATCATGACCCCCCTGCTCAAAATCACCGAGTCACTGTTACTAAGGGACCGGTCATAAAGTAGAGGGGGGGGTGGGCTATGAAAAATTGGGGGTGGGTCACTATTTTTCAACACGTCGAAAAGGGTGGGTCAGGAAAATTTATGCACTGCATTAGGGGTGGGTCAGGTAAAATTATTCACGTCTCACAATTTAATAAATAGCAAATAAAAACTTTTGCGAAATCTCTTTAACCTATTAACTTTATATATTAAACACAGGGGCGAAACTAGCCCCTTTTAATTAGGGGGGTGTCTGGCAGAATTGCCCTGCCAAAACCAGTGATGCCCTGCCAAAAAGTACCAAAAATTTTTTTCCGGAAAAATTATTTTGGCGACCTCCCCGATCGAATATTGCCCCCGCCCGGTACGCCTATGTGCTATCATTTATTTATAAGAGACCTTTGATTGCCCTGCCAATCGGGACGATTCGTATTTTGGGGGGTGTAACACCCCCCCACACCCCCCTCAAGTTTCGCCCCTGATTAAACAACAGGAATTCACATTTGTATACAGTACATTGGGAAGTGTTCTAGTTACCGTAGTCTACTCAATGTCAGGGCCGTAGCAACCGGGGGGGCTGGGGGGGGGGGCTGCAGCCGCCACCCAATAATTTGATAATAATCATTCTTTTTTCAAAATCATGCAAACTTTATCATTTAATCTGTGACAAACTGCATGCAGCCCCCCCAATAATTTGCTAATAATCATTCTTTTTTCAAAATCATGCAAACTTTATCATTTAATCTGTGACAAACTGCAAAGAATGAAGATATTACTCATACTCCAGATCGTTCCTCGCGTAGAAATTTTAGCTGAATTTCTGTCGCGCATTTTCAAGAAAATCCCACAAAATCTGCACATTTTTGATGAACTAATGATTTATTTTGTCTTTTGCGTGTTGGGTCTTGCGAAAGAAAACTCTGAAAATGCCATTTCAGACCATCTAGAGACTCCAGATTTTCGAAATTTTCTCAAATGTTCTGCCTTCATTTCCGCGCAACTGCCATTTACGACGAAAATTCCCGCCGCGCATTTATAATACTACAGTCTGGCCCATACTTTCCTGTAAATTTCGACATACTAAAACGCTGTTTTCTGACTATCAGAATTCTGTTAAATCTTCCCCCAAAGTCCAGGAAATGGCATTTTAGAGACTCTAAATTTAAAAATTTCCTCGGGCCTTCGGCCCTCGCTTTCAGCCCCCCCAATCGAAAAGAGCTTCCTACGGCCCTGAATGTACTGTCATGCATTATGTTTGGACATAGTTGAATTATGTTCAAGAGTCGGGCGGCGTGTTACAACATTTCAATCTCGGAGATTTTTCGGGGATTCTGACTAAACTAGTAAAGAATCGTGGTAAGCCAATGCTGCCAACGTACGCGCACCTATCTACATTACCGTACAGTACATTATCTACATGACGGGGGGGGTCACTAAGATTTCTGCTCTAATCTAGGGGTGGGCCACCTCAATTTATTGTCACAATTTGGGGGTGGGTCACTGTAAACCAGTCTTTAAAAAATCAATTTTCATAGCCCACCCCCCCCCTCTACTTTATGACCGGTCCCTAAGTCATTGAACTACTCTGCCCCCCTCCAGCCCTCCCCTCTCAACCATTTTGCCCCAGTCAAAGTCCCCTTTCTTTACTAATATGAGCAAAACATTGGAATTCAGAAGGGAGGTTTGATATTCTAGTAACTGAAATTTGCTTTTATCTTCAAATGATTTTCATATGGTCGTAAAGACTGAGTCACGATTTCTCATCCATTCTAAATACACAAAACATTTTGTCACATTTTGTCATCTCTCCACACTCAGTACAGTATGATCCCTTTTTGTAGATGCCTCCCCCCGGAATCAATATGGGTTTTTTTAAAAATGATTAAATCAGTACGTTGTTGGGTTTTAGAATTCCCCATTGGTAGAATACAGTTCTTAGTATTCTTTTCTTTCCTCGTTCTTTCCCACCCACGCAGGCACGCACCCACACATTTTTGGTCCTTAGTATTAACCAAATCGCTGAAATTGTACAGCCAGGGTTGTCTGTCTTAGACTATGGTGATTCAGATGGGCCTTGGTCCTTTATTCATTTATTTTATTTATTTAGCTTTGCCAACTAGGGCAGGGTCACCACAACAGCATATGCCAATTACTGTGGGCCCTTTTTACCTAACCCACCCTGTCAACTTTCCCTGTGGGAGGAAACCGGAGTACCCGGGGAAAACCCACGGCTTTCGGCAGAGCGTTGACTTTTACTCTTTTCACATGGGGACTGGGTTCGAGTCGCACTGAGAAGGTACTTAGTGAGACTCGAACCTGCAGCCTCAGAGGTGAAAGGCAAGTGCGCTAACCACTTGGCCACCGAAGCCCCTCAATTTAGGTTCAACTGATTATAGCAAAGATGACTATTCATTGTTTGATGTTGCTTTGGCATCGATCCTTGGGTCTGCCACCTGTACTGTAAGTCACGCCTCGTTAAACCCAATCTGAAAACATTTAAAATGCGGTAGATGTGTTCAATGATTCTAAAAGAAAGCTTCGCATACGTACCCTCAGTCAATATTAGTTTCCCATTCGCATATCAGAGCGAGTAACAGCCAGGGACGTACCGAGCGTTACCTGGTTGGGGGTGAACTCAAAAGTTTGGCCCCCCTCGCCCTGAAATTTTTTTAGAACGTTCCAAAAAATTTTCCAAACCTTTTGGATAATGGGGGGTTAAAAATACATTTTCAGAGCTTTTTCGACCTCAATTTTTCACAATTGCACTATTCCTTAATATTTAGCACGTTCCGCAATTCCAGCATTTCGGGGACCCCTCTGGGGAAATTGGGCCCCCTTAACTTTCATTGGGGGAGGAAGGGGGGGTGTTACACCCCCAGCAGTTACGGCCCTGTTAACAGCCGAGACGACCACACAGGAGTATGGGTTATGCATGCAAAACACATCAAATCAAGTAAACGTCCAATGTATATAGGGCAATTAAACTAAATTACGTGGTATTTCCACAAACAAAACTATTATAAATTACGAGAATTGTAAAATGTATTAATAATTAAGATACAAGACAACAATTGGATGCAAAGATAATACACATTGTATAGGTCCATGTTACAGCTATCATTGTACGTCCACAATCAATAAAACACAATATTAAAAGTGTCACAATTAAAGTTCCCATGTGATAAGTTCTTAAAGATATGGTGCTTAATAGATGGCACGTAGTAAAAAAACACAGTCTTGTACAGTCTGTACAAAATGCTGCATGTTGCTATTACCTACAGAAGCAAGGCTAATTAAGAGGAATTTAAGACAGGAAAATTTACGATATTAAAATCCACCACTTGGCTATGTAACGAAGCAAATGGAGTTCATATCCACACCACTGAATATTTTATGGCAACATTTTGTGTAGTATTGTAACTTTTACAATGATAGTTCATTGTAAAAGTTACAATACTGCACAAAATGTTGCCCTTGCAAGACACAATTCACGATCCTACGAATTGTACCAACATTACTTAATTCTTAATAAAGTTGATCATATGAAATTTTATAAAATGTCGGTGAGATTCTGAATCGTGTCGTGCAATAGTTTGTCTAATAGTTTCATCTATTCAGGTCTTGCACGGACGCAGGAATGCGTCACGATAAGAAATCCGCCATGTTGGGTGACAAAAATAATTGTACGGTGCCGGTGGGCATTACAGACAGCAGAGAAAACCACTGTTTGAAATTTCTAGTAAATGCCCTTTCTCAATTTTCCAGAAATGTCCTTTCTCAATTCATATTACAGTCGTGGCAATGGAAATGTTCCTAAAATATTCTCAAATTCATTGGCTCACAAGAACGAATACATTTGATGAGGCGCGTTGAAAACTTGATTTTTGTAAATTCCTGCATGAATGCCGCAATCACCTTTAATTTTGGTGCAATTGAACAATCATATAGAGGAAGAAAGTGACTAGAAATGATCAAATACAGGAAGTGCGGGTGGTAATTGGTCAAATATCTCAAATGAATTGGTTTGTGGGAGCAAATGAATTGGTAGAATATTTTAGGAACACTTCCATTGCCACGACTGTATGCCAGTTAAACGAAAGCGATCATTTGGAGTTCTATCGAAGTAAACTTGGGAAAATGTTACGACAAATTAGTGCGGTGCATTGACCGCGGAGAGTGTTTGAGGCATGCCCCCTCCCCCCAGCTCCGCGGTCCATGGTGCACGTTTGTACTATGATTTAAGGCATTTAAAGATTTGCTACCCAAAATAGTGGAAGTCAAACAATAGACCTTTCTTATAATGACGACAAACGTGGAAAACGAGTTTATGCTACGTTTGTAGTTAAAAATTGTCCCTTGGGACATCGCATCGAGTAGTTTTCCGCGTTTGACGTCATTATAAGACAAGTCTATTATATTTACAAAGGCTGAATATCTCCCGCCGTTTGCATCTACTAAGGATGAAAGTCGCGGATAAAAAACCCCGCCATTTTCTTTTCACGACAAATTTCAGTATTTCATGGTTTCAATCAGCTCAGCGAATCGGCTTGAGGCTAGTTGAGCGTGATCTTTTGATGGAATTTGTTGTCCTGTCAAATGCTCCTGTCAACCATTAATTTGTTTAACCGTTTTTATCTGCGATTGTTCATCCTTTAGTTTTGGTGTCCATTATGTTGTGAGGATGCGACCAACACAGAGTACCGATGTAAAAGAATGTCGATATACATCTAGAATCAGTACATGTTGATTTACACAAGACAAGATGTATATCCACACTATTTGATATCAGTGACTAGGAGTTGGGACCATGTTATATGAGGCAATTTTTGCTGCAAAGTGCGAAGCAATTCGGATACAGAGACATGTTCTCTAAAATGTAGTCATGGTGAGCATGACCCATGGTTTATTACAAGTCTGACAACACTTTCGTTGCATAACATTCTCTTAAACTGAGTTAAAGACTTAAGGGATGAAAAATGACAAAAAACGGGATGAAAATTGCCGGTAGAGAACGATTTAGGCCATGCTCACTGCGATGTCTTCTTAGTTAGATAACATGGTTTTATATTAGAAATTGTGTTGCAAGTTGCGGAAAAAATTGCCTCGTGTAACATGGTCTTTGGTCACGACAAAATAGAACCGGTCTGCAGTTGCAAACGAAGGTACAGTCCGAAACGTCGTTTCTTTGTTAAAAATGTAAAATACAAGCTAAAAAGTATGAGATTACTTGAAGTATAATAACAACATGGCGGCAAGCAAGGGGAAGTTTAATCGCTTTCTTCATCATCATCGTCCTCCTCTTCATCATCGTCATCTTCTTCCTCTTCTTCCTCCTCATCTTCTTCACTTTCACTTACTTCTTGAACTTTTGCTTTCGTCTTCTTCACTTTTTTCTGAGGAGGTGGTGCAGGATACTAAATTTAGAATAGAAAAATAGCTTTAGGCTATATGTTGCTTAAATCGTAGATGTTTACATGTAATTTTAAACATGCCAGTAATTGCAACATCAGACGTCTAATTCTATACAAGAATTATACTGTACGTGCAGTTGTAAATACGACATATGTCGCGACTAAATGAAGTAGTATTGCTCGTTTGCAATCGACGCCATCTTGGTTGATTTTCGTGGCAACTAAAAATCTCAGACCTGCCAACCTCCAACAGCAACGAATCTGGAGATCTGATAGAAAATTTCTTGAGATTGATCTCTTAATTCTGGAGATAAAATACTGAAAATCTGGGGTATTTCTGGATAAGACAATTACTGTAATCATTGCATGTAGATGACTGATCTATGTTCTGTGACATAGCAATTTTAATCAGTACTGTCCTCCAAAATAGAACTTTAACTCAACAGTTTACTTACAAATTCAACCTGTTCTTAGTCTATACAAGTGTATCTTACTAATTCGGGATACTATTCCAATTTTTATCCCACACACCTCTGTTGAGGAACCTTGGAATTCCAGAGGAAGGGGATGACTTTCAACCATGACCCGCATTTTCAACCTTGGAAATTGCTAGGGGGGGGGGGGGGAATGTGGAATGATGTGAATATAAAACAGGAATAGCCCATCGGCCAATTTGAAGTAAATTTACCCGCTCTGCACCCTGACTCGTCCCCAGTCGTCTCTGTGAGCACGTGCGAATTTGAAAGCGCGCGCAGGGGTGACTAATGGAGCATACCGCTTAGGTTATTCAAAATGGCGGAACACTTAGAAATGAGTAAATAAACACTATTAGTGTTGGGGATGTTTTACAAATTAATTAGAATCACCCTCAATGGCTAGTTTTATTTCATTTCAATCACTCCAATTTTAAAGTCTAGTGGTGGTTAAAATTTCAAAATCGTGAATCCGTGAGATTTGAAAATATTTCCGTGAGTTCGTGAGATAATGCCTGAATTCGTGAGTCACACCGGAAATCCGTGAGAGTTGGCAGGTCTGAAACCTATATATTCTTCTTCATTCTTTGAAATCCAGAAATCGTAAACTATCCATAATACAGTAAGATGTTTTCAAAACAAACCAAAAATATCAAAGTAACTCCACTATTTCGATGTAAACGGCTGGACAAAACTTTAAAATCAACCAAGATGGCGCCTAATGACACGTAGTGACGTCATGTGCAAGCAAACAATAGAGAATTTATATCATAAAGAAAGCAGGTTTCCATTTTAAGCATAAAAATTTCCGGGCCAGTAGTAAATTTAATGTATCTCCATAAATTTCAAACGACAAAGTTTTAATATCATAATTCTTGCATCAGAAAATGCCAGGCTCGAACTGAATAGTTAACGTTAATTAATGTATTATATGATACCTGATCCTTGTTCAACTTCATGATCACTTGCAATTCAAGACAAAATCAATGCCTTTTGCCACAGTTTACATATTCCTGCTCACTCCCTTAGTAAGGGTTTATCATTTGAATTTGGCACATAGGGTCCATAGTAACGAGTAAAATAAGAGGGTTTTTTAAAATCCCGAATCCTCTGCACAAATTCTCTTACAATCCTGTACGTTTTCGATCGATTTTTCTCTTTCCGTGACTTTTTATACCACGTCCCGCAAAACTTATTTTGTGTACCTAAAGTTCTAATTAGGGCGAATATTTTAAAACTCTCCTGGTGGCGGGAATATTTGTGTTGGTTAACGATACTTACTTTGGCTAGGTATTCTTTCATTTCTTCGTCAAACTTGGCTTTGGCTTTTTCTTGCATGTCGAGATATTTCTTTTTCTTATCGTCAGATATACTGCGCCATTCCTCTCCAGCTTGTTTTGAAACACCTGGTCCTGTCAGTCCTTCAGCTTTCTTAACTTCACGGAATTCTTCCAGGAAGAACAGGAATGACGTCATGGGTCGTTTGGGCTTATTTTGATCTTTTGCTGGTTTTAAAAGTTTCACCTGTAAAATATTAAAATTATTTGATCAGTTTTTATCATGAGCGTCTTGATGAAAAAGCTAACCTTTATTATATTTTCGTAATCGATGGTACGTCCCTTAATGAGTGAAACCTTACCTCGCGGTCACATGATTACTACGGTCCTCGAAAAACGTAAGGTGTTCGCACAAACAAATTCGCCTAGTGGAAAATGAGCTTAACACAGCCAAATTTTTATTGCATGTTCTTTATTTTTTTCTGCATTTTTTAATTTGTTTGTTTTGCCTGTACAAGCTGTTAAAACACAGCGAAGCGCAAAGCGAAGCGACAAGTAAAAAAAGGAACTGATCCAACTTCGCTAACCAATCATATTGCCGTTTTTTACGCGAACAAATTCAGGAACATCTGAAATATGAATAACATCCAGATCGCTAGTTATTGGGTGTTATTTAATTTTTGTATATATTTCTACACTTGTATTATTTCAGTTTTTTGCATTCTAGAAATTTATTGCGATGCTGCAAATTTTATTGTACTTTATTGAGATTTTTGGACATTGTCAATCGTTTTAACATGAAGTTTCCCAATTGTATAATTTGTACAAATTTGCTGGCTCATCTTTTCGAAACATGTGCGAAGCGTCTGCAAGTATGCAAACTGCAAATGAAACTTTTTTATTGAGAACTTGAAAAAATAAAAGAATCCCAAGGTATGTTAATAACTTTCTGCAAATTAGCAAAGTTTATAGCGTTGTTACTAAGCTGTCAAAATATTACCCTAACCTCCCCTCCCAAAAAGGCAATCATGAGTCATCATGACAATCATGAGAAGCAAGGATACATAAATTTGAAAAACGCTCCATGGGACACTGAACCCATGTACTCAGAGATGAAAGGCGCTTCCTCTGACGACTACGGTAACGAAGCCCCATAGATTAGCACTGCGCGGGGACCATGGAACCATTGGTCCCAGAAATTTTTTTGAGTTCCCAGAAAATATTTCCCCAAGAAAAAAAAGAGTTGTAAAAATTGAAATAGATAAGGGGCCACGTCCATATTCATGTTGCCACAAATTGTCAAATAACATCGAATGGACATTACGAGTGGGTGGGTTTTTATGGGATGTTTATATCTCACATGGCAATTTGACAATTTATTTTATAATATAGCATTTGTAAATTCTGAACGCTGATTGGCTAAGAGCCATGTTGATATAACTCAATGTCAACACGGAAAATTTCTTTCTTTATATTTCTTTGTGCTATATTGTAAAAAAAATATAAAACATTTTTCCGTATTGATATACAGTTATATCAACGCTCGTGGAAATTGGGAAAACTCGAAATTGCTTGAAAACACTTTGGGCGTTGTGTTTCCATACAATTTCTCATTTTCCCAAATCCCACTCGTGTTGATACAACTTTACATCAACATGGAAAATGTTTTATATTTGTGAAATATTCATTTTGAAATGAATGGTATTTCCTGCAATCTGGTTGGTTCACAGGAGTGTGATTTCAGCACTAATATCATTTTAGTCAATTTACTCAATTCTGATTGGTTAAAAACCGTGCCGATTAAACATTAATCACACAGGTGTGCCGATTAAAGATTAATTGGCATGGATACAAGCCTGTGTGGTTCATACGTGCATTAAACACAAAATGTCAATTCACAATAAACAACTTGAAAAAATTATGTACATTTTCTGAGCTCTTATTTTACAATGAGCTCTTATTTATGCTTTCATAATGAAGAAAAAAGAAGAAATAAAGATTATTCACAGTTTTTACAGGTATGAATTGAAAATTAATGTCAGAAAATGCTCTCAAAATTGACCACATGCAGAGGGGCATATAGTATTATTATGGCTGTGCTCGCTTGAATACAAATACAATGTTTCTCATCATTGATTACTCGTCTAAAATTGACTGTAAAATGATATTAATAGGAAATTACACTTGTTCTCGAAGTATTAATGAAAATGATCACTTGTGTTTGGCGAAATATTTATAATGCCGCTCGTGCTACGCACTCGCGGTATTATAAATATTTTGCCAAACACGTATGTGATTTTTCATTAATTAATACTTCTCGAACTGTTTAATTTCCTATACGAATTGCAATCCTAGCAGTGCAATTTGTGCTGAAATCGTATCTTCTTTCAACCAATCACATTAGATTGCTGACTTCAGCCAACCAATCATATTTAATCATAGGATTCAAACAGCCATTCAATTTTAAGAAAAATGTTATATGGCAAATGAGCAAAAACAAAAAAATTACATATGTCATGATTAATAATACTCTTGAGTGCCTATGCAATTTTTTGCACATAAAAACAAAAAATATGGATAGCTACAGTAAACTATCAAAGAATTGCAAAGAGTTTCAAAATTTCACAAATAGTAACAGCTTATTCTATGGTAAGAGGCAAAAATGCCAACAAAAGCAAATTTAAATTGTCAGGGAAAACAAAGGTAAATTCACCTGTCGTATTTCCAATTTTAAATGCACAAAACTGCACCAAAACTCGTAATACCTACAATATGTTTAAACTTACTTGTATTGTCTCTTATTCTTTATAAATTTATGTCTTCATTTCTGTAACATTTTTGCAGTATTTTGAACGTATAATAAACAAAACTAAGTTCATCTTGTTCGCTTATTGTTGCTATGCTACAGCACTCAGGGAGGGATCGGAGGTGTGTCTTTTGCCAACAAAAACGTTTCCGGTTTACAAAAAAATTTAAGATTTTAAATTTGTAATCACGCAAATATTTGATTTCAGTCCAAATTGCATTCCACTAAATTCAATTACCATTATTTAATGTCCAAAGTAACTATCACAGTACAGCTTTTGTATTGTAAATACGAAAGTCAAAATACGACTGAATATAGATCAACGTTATCTGGGGTAGGTTGAAGTAATAACATCGATTCAACATGTACGTTATTTGTGGCAACATGAATATATGAACGTGGCCCCTAAAAGGAGAAATCCAGAGGAAAAATTCTAACCAATAGAATGAATGTTACCTGTACTGTAGGTATGACCTCAGAAATGCAATTATAAGTGCATCCATCTTACTAGTGCAATATATTGTGTAAATGTATAGACTATAGAATGATGTAACAAATGTTGTATGGCATTTTTTGTCCACCCCTGGCCCTGTGAGTGAAGCAAGCAGCTAGAGCAGGTTTGGGACTGCATAGTTTGCGAGTTGTGATGGGGGACGGCCACCAGGGGAATTTTTTTGAAAAATTGGGCATGGAAAGGTCTGTTTTGGCATTTGATAAATAAAATTTTTGACCACAGGGAAATAACGAAACCACAAAAAATTAGAAAATAGAATGGTATAGATAAGAGTACTTATTAAATATTGGTAAAAAAATGGTAAATATTACAAAAGAATACTGGGAAAAATTGAAATTTTCAGCTATGCTAGCATACACAAGACCTTCTGACCAGGTTTGCAGTTAGCTCCAGTCACTGCAGTTAGCTCCAGTCACTTGCAGGTAACACAGTTACCTTGAATCCCAATATCTGACACCTGTGGCATATTTTAGTGTAGGGGGAAGGTTTTTTTTTAAATAATTTTTTATTTGCACCTATATAAAATCAGCCTTGTTCCCAGGGATATAAAATATAAGCATAATTAACTGATAATATTGAGGATTTCTAGCAATCAACAGTTGGCTAGCGCTGGGGTCAGGCCTCAAAATAAATCTGGGAGGTACACCGGTCATCATGACTGGTGCATTATTAAATTTGCCAGTCAAGATGGATAGGGGTGCACCGGATTTCAAATCCGGCCGGATTTTCTCCAAATCCGGCCGGATAAATTTCTGTTTTCCCTTTAAAAATTCACCAAGAATGGGATAAACCATCAATTTGGCAGCTTTAGAGTTTAAAAAAACACTTATATTATTATAAAATATTAAGTTATTAACAAATATTTAAAAAAGGTTTAAACACAATCAAAAATCTAAACTGACACTAACTAAAAATAGTAAAAAACATAAATCGCCATTTTGAATACTGATTTATCCACAATTATCCCCATTACCGGTTTATTTTAAATCCGGCAAATCCGGCCGGAATTCCGGCTGGAATTTTTGTCCAAATCCGGTAAATCCGGTTCCGGCCGGATTTGAAAATTCCAAATCCGGTGCACCCCTAAAGATGGATGTTTTGCCAGTCATCTTTTGATTTTCTTATTTGCACCTATTTTAAGTGAACTTGTGCAGGTATGATTATAATGCTCTGAATAAAATTAGAAATTACAAACTGTTACTTATTATCCTTTAAAAAATGTGGTCACTGGTCACCGCACAATTGATACAAGAAATTGTGGGAAACAAAAATTTGCTCGGGAATGCATTTTTACATTAGAAAAAGTCTCTGATCATGCGTAAGAGACAGTATTTGTCTGTTAAAATGAAAAAATTTACCAGACAACAACCAGTGACCGGCACTTATTTCAAGGCCTGGCTGGTTGGTTTATATAAAAGTAGACAAATTCTTTCAGAATAAAAGTTTTCTACGGTATTTATATAAAATAAAAAAGTTGGGTCTGGAGCTTTTTCACTGCTCGGGCGGGGATGCTAACCAAGTTATTTTTTTTACTTGGCCTAATCAGATCCTTTTATTGATGATCGGAAAAAACTACCCAGTGTGCAAAGTTTATATCTCGCAACTGACATGCCCATTTTTCATGTCTTCCATATATTTACTATTAAACTCTTGAAATAATGAATGCATAGTTTATAGAGCTAGCACTGCACATAATCCATATACGATAATCAAACCATGATATAATATCTATTTATTATTTTTTTATTTATTATTTTCTACTCTATTCATCTTTACATCAAACAAACACACTACGATGATGCTGACAAATCCAATTTGTTCCCTTCGGGTTTGGGATATATATAATTATTTATAGGGCCACAGAAAACACGCAAACGCGTCACGTGATTAGTCATCCACTTCCTGTGCAAGACAACCTTCGAAGAAGAAGGATCGGAGAAGAAGGCTTCATAGGAGTGTTCTTCTTTGCGAAAATCAAGACTTCAGAATCAAAGGAATGATCTTACCTTTTCGTCGTATCCAACTTTTTCTTTCTGGTATTTATCCACGTACGGTTGCTTTTCTTTATCACTCAGTTTCGCCCATGCAGCTCCACCGTCCTTCGCGACATCACCAATCTTTGTTGATTTCTCCTCGCCATTTTTCACGTCGTTCTTGCGCTGAGCGCGAAAGTCATCCATGAAATGAAGATATGCTGTCTTGGGTCGTTTCGGTTTACTCGGATCCTTTTTTCCTTTCGCACTCGGAGCCGGTTTCTTGGTAGTTCTCTGTTTCTTTGGTGATCCCGACTTGACGCTCTCCCCGGACCGCTTCTTGCTCACTTTACAAAATACAAACGAAACAGGGAGACATGTTTAAAATTGAGCAAGAATTCAAATTCAAGTTGTCCTTAATCACTTTTGAGCCGTGTTTCGATCACATTTTACAAGAAGGCGAAGCGAATTTATATCTGAGCTTGGTGTCTTATGATTGTTAGTAGGCTAGAGCTGTCCCTATAGCGTTATATAGACTCGTATACAACATAGTAAACGAGCTGTAAACAGAGGCGCGCCTAAATCAGCCATGCCATATTTCCTGATTTGCTAACGCTTATTCACAAATAAAAATCACTAAAATTGAGGAAAAAATCCAGCCTTACAGTTAAAATGTTTAACAAACAGTTCCGACAATTTTAAGCGGTTAATAATTCGCTCTTATGATCATATAGTCATATATAGTTCAATATACTATACGTCTATACCATATAGTATAGACTATAGAACGTATATATTTATCGTTCAAAGGCTAGCACTAAATTGCAACACACAGATTTTCCTGCGTATTCGCGAATTTGTTCATTCTTACCGTCCATTTTGTTCAAGTTTCCACAAAACAAGATGTATATTCGAAGAAGAAATTATTCTGCTAGGAGAAGTATAAAATCCTTGCTAGCTCACTCACTTCTACTGTCGTTTATACAAGACAAAGCTTTCGTGTGGGCCCCACGAGGATTCTTTCACCGAAAGGACGCTCATACTAGGCTTGACCCGCCAACACGCATTGCGCATGCGCAAGATAAACAAAATGAATAAATGATGCGCATAAATTTTCCCACAAGATCAAATAACAATTTTCTAACAATTTTACCAAAGTAAAGTAAACTTTTTCGGGATTATTGTTGTGCTTGGAACAAGTCACTCACATAACGTAGTTAACCGTTTTAGCATAAGTTAGAAGCGTCAGAGTTAGAGCGTCAACAATTTTGGGCTCTGAATTCCGATTCTCAACCTAAAAGGCTAGGGCTTGGTTTGGTTGGGGGTTAGAGCTACAAGTTGGGCTATGTTGGGAGAGTTACAACATAGCGCCGGGTTGTGGAGCAGCTAAATAAGACCCTAACAGGCCTTATTAGTTTAGCTGCTACACAACCAGGGACGTAGCAACCAGGGGATGTAGGGGGTGAAACAGCCCCCAGTATTTGTTAATGAGTATTTTCACTTATTTTCAGGTAAATTATAACAGCATTGACTGGCAAACGTGGAAGTTTAAAGGAAAAGCAAGCTAAGAAAGCCAAATTTTAGTTGCATTTCCGGACTTTCTGAGTGTCTAAACTGCAAAATACTTCCCCCCGAATTCCCCTAGCCCCATATCCCATTGTGCTAATATATTCTTTCGGAAGAAACACCTGCGAAAAAACTGCTATTAGATAACGTAAAAAGTAATTTAAAAAATCAGGTAATTGGAACCCTTACCCCCGACTTGAAAACAAATCATGTGGAAAGCTCATGATGAAGGTGTTGAGTTGGTATATTTATAGACACTGACTGAAAAGACGACCTATACTCACTTGTTCACCATGTTTTACTCTTCACTCGGGACTGGCCTACTTATATTTATACTCACTTTCAGACAGAGGCGTAGCCAGGATTTTGCTTTCGTAGCACTTTTCTCGATTTCCGTATCACTTTTTCCGATGCTTCACCACGAAGATTCCGACAACAGTTGAGAGTTTGAGCAAGAGAACGAAGTCGGACGACGACAATGTGGACCGTGGTTGACAATTTTTGCCTGTCTTGTACATTATCTTATGCATTCTGAGTTTAGAGTCAGGCGTGAAGACAGATTAGAGATTTATGTCTAGCTGTTTATGAATGCTGGCCCAAATCCTTACTCTGATCAGGACAAAAATCCACATCTCGTTTTCGTTCTTCTGCCTTGAAGTCAATCTCGTTCCCCGAGCCTGCGATCCTCGGGAAGGAACGCGAGGCTCTGGGATAATCCGTTGCCGGAAGCCAGGAATTCTGGCTACGATTGAACTACGCATTCCATTTCAACGGCCTATCAGATCCTCCCTGAAACGAATTATCCCAGAGCCTCGCGTTCCTTCCCGAGGATCGCAGGCTCGGGGAACGAGATTGCCTTGAAGTTTGTTCCATTCTCGTACCCAGAGCCCTTCTTACGCGCGGTGCAACGAGGGGCTCTGGCCAAATCCATATTCCGAACTGGCATCTGATTGGCTAGTTCTAACACCGGATATTGTTTTCTTACCATGTTTTTATGGTATCCGGTTATGGATTTGACCAGAGCCCCTCATCGCACCGCGCGTAAGAAGGGCTCTGGGTAAGAGAATGCCTTCGTTCACAACGAAATATTCGCAAAAATTTTGGCAAAATTCGCTGTGAACTTCGTTCCGAACGAAGGCAGAAGGACAAAGACGGGATATAGTTTCTTGTCTCGCTGTTTTTTTCTGCGTCAGGGCAAGAATTAGGGTCAGTATGCATAAACAGCGACACATGGGAAGACACGTTGAGCAACCACCAGTGACGTCCAACTCAGTATGCGCAAGATAATATACAAGTCTACGGCAAAAATTGGCAAGTATACGCCTTCGTCTTCGTACTTCGTTGTCTTGCTCAAACTCTCTATTAGAGAGTTTGAGCAAGACAACGAAGTACGAAGACGAAGGCATATTTGACAATTTTTGCCGTCTGCACATTATCTTGCGCATACTGAGTTGGACGTCACTAGTGGTTGCTCAACGTGTCTTCCCATGTGTCGTTGTTTATGAATACTGACCATAATTCGTGCCCTGATCCAGTAGAAAACTGCGCGAGACATGAAACTATATCCCGTCTTTGTCCTTCTGCCTTCGTGCAGAACGAAGTTTACGACGAATTTTGCCAAAATATTCGTTGTGAACGAAGGCAGAAGAACGAAGACGGGATATGGATTCATGTCTCACTGTTTTTTCCTGATCAGGGTGAGGATTTGGGTCAGCATTCACAAACAGCTAGACATAAATCTCTAATCTGTCTTCACTCCTGACCTTAAACTCAGAATGCGCAAGGTAATGTCCAAGACAGGCAAAAATTGTCAACCACGTCGTCGTCGTCCGACTTCGTTCTCTTGCTCAAACTCTCCAATGACAATTTTCCGACGGGTCTCAATTTTCCGACAGGTCTCCCACCCCCGTCCCCTCCGGCCACGGCCTTTGAGCCTGCATTAAAAATTCACTTGTAAAAAAAACCAAATTGGTTTAAACTTCATCTAACCCTCATTTAATACATAATGAAATAATTAGGGTTAGAAAAGGTATGTGTTTCAAGCTGTGTGCCGCAAATAAGCGAACAAGTGATTTTAGGTTTCACACCGATGCCCAGCAAAGCATATATTCTACAGAATTTTTGCATTATTGACAGCATGAAGCTATATAATCAAGGATTCCCTTTTTTATACAATACATTTTATCATGGGGCCCCCAAAAATTTTGCCAGGGGGGGCTCAAAATTTTGCCGGGGGGGGGGGGGCGGGGCCCCCTGCCCCAGCCCTGGCTACGCCTCTGCTTTCAGATAACTTTATCACAAGCATATTGCCGTTCAGAATCAGTCAAAATGTGTTACAAAACACCGCTTCCTTAATTCCCTATATATATATAATTGTTTTTCACACGCATTTCTAAAGAATGAGGATTCCCTCGAGGAGGGTACCCCACATTATAGGCCAAGGCTCTCACAGGCTGTGGTAGCGCTGAAAAAGATGTGTACGACCGTGAGAGATTGCCAGATTTTCACGTCAGGGGGCGGGGGGCAGAAAAGGCCTTACTCTTCCACAGTTTGCCGGTTAATTATTCATGATCACCTAAACGTATTCGAGACAACTACAGTACCCATATTAGAAGTATAGTTAATTTGCAGGGGATCTGGTCATGGGAGCATGCTTGATATCTGTACCATATACTGCGTTTTGGTGTGGACCAGGGTTGGCCAGTTAGATGAATAATTAGGCCAAATCGTCATTATTAAGTGCCGTTTAGAAAACAAAAGGCCAAGACAAAGAAAACAAAGGCCTATAGTGTGACGGTGTTTGGCCTAATTATTCAGCAAACCTACCAACCCTGGTGTGGACTGGGACTTTGTTAAGAAAATGTCTAACCGTCCCCAGTCCCTCCTAGATAGTCCACGGACAAGTACATAAACTTTGGAATAAAATGAAAAGACTTGGGCTGCGGACTAACGTTAATAACCAATTCACAACTTTACTCTTTAGATAACTCACATGCCTATAGTTAATTATTGTTCTAGTTTACAGAAGCTTATAATAGAACAAAGGTAACTAAGCTTTAGAATTATCTAAATGAGTGTGATAATTCTTATACATAACTCATTAGAGTATTTTTTACCTTGAATGAATGAATATATTTTTGCCACATATATATCAATTTACATCACTTAGCAAGACATACACATATGGTACACATCACACAATTTAATTAACCTACTAAACATAATAATAAAACATTACGAACTAATTGTGGCGAGGACGTCCAAAGTGAAACCACGAGGCTTATAAATTTGGACTACCTCAATAGCGCATGTATATCATCATTTAAAGAAAATAGTGATTACGTATGACATATAAATAAGACATTTATATATAAAAAGAGAAGAAAAATCGTTTTAACTTATCCTGAAATTTATATATGCATGAAGAATTGCAAATATCAGAAGACAATGTGTTGTAGAATTTAGGACCCTGATAGTTAACCGAAAACAAACGTATATTTGTCCTGCAATAAGGAACGTAGAGAGTATCAACTTTACGTGTTGCATAATTATGAATTTTGTTAACTTCCAAAAATGAATTTTCAAAACATCGTGGAAGACACTCATGCTGGTATTTAAAAATTAATTTTCCTAACTCAAAAAAATAAATATCTTCAAATTTAAGCAATTTGTATTTACAAAAAATAGGTGTATATGTACACCAAACCCTTGTTTATCAACTATTCGCACCACTCGTTTTTGCAAAACGACAAGACGTTTAGTATTGCTAGCATACGTAGAACCCCAAACTGTGATACAATACTGAAGATAAGGATATACCAGTGCAAAATATAACATTCGCAGTGCTGATTTGAATAAATAGAAACTCGATCTATAAATAATGCCAATTGATTTGGAAATTTTTCGTGCAACATGAGCTATATGAGCTTTCCATGTTAAATTTTCATCCAAAATGACACCTAAGAAACACACCTCATTAACTCTAGTTATGGTTATTTGATTGATTTGTAAAGTAAGATCAAACGTTTGCTTTTTCTGCCTGGTTTTAAATATAACATAATTAGATTTGGGTATATTAATGGAAAGTTTATTGGCCCGAAACCAGTCTGAAAGCAGACGAAGTTCGGAGTTAATAATATTCGTCAAAGACGATATATTATCATGGGAATATGGCTGTGAAACTCATTAGAATAACAATATAACTCATTATCTATGTTAGTCAACGTGTATCAGTCATAAATCTGGTCGTTTCACCGTCACGTCTGTATTATATTTTTACCAAATCCACCAATAGCATTTTCCAATTTACCCTATTGTTCGAGTCACGGATAGGTAACTTTCCTAAAACATTGCTATTGGTTAGTTGGGCAAGAATACAATACACACGTGACGGTGAAGGACCAGATTTATGAATAAACGTTGACCAACATAGATAATGAGTTATATTGTTATTCTAATGAGTTTCACAGGCATCATGACAGCCATCTTCCCTTCGATAGGCTATGTCCTACTTTATGCTTCTGGAGCCGCGGCCGGTTGTTCAAAGCTGGGTTAGTTTAACCCTTGGTTAACCTAAAATTCAAAGCAAACTTCCTGACAGCTTGTCTATAAATTTGGAAATATTTCTTCAGAGATCTTGTCTGGATCGATAGGAGTTTACTTCTCTGAAGTTTTGAAATAAACAAATGTACAGAAATACACAAACTAAAACAGTAGGTTAAATTTTTACCCAGGGTTAGCGTTAACCCACATTTGAACAACCGGCCCCTGTAAACTAGAACAATAGTATAACTAGCCATATCAGCGATCTTAAGCCTGCCGCACAGGAGAAACTTGCCGGCCGACCTAACCACCTCCGGAGAATGGCAGCTAGCTCAGCTATGGATTTTCACCGCACACGTTGGGAAAACTTCTCAACAACGATTGTATCGGACAGTTTACAAACTGTTTAAGTATTATTAATAATTACCTTAGTTTGATTTAGCATGATTCTATTTGATTCAACCAATATGATTTGCATGCTAAGTGATAGAATTATTAAAGGATGTCACCGATTTTTGAGCAATTCTAAGTAACCCTCGCAAATTTTGCCCAAAACTGAAAAAGAATGAGTGTAAGCACAAAATAAAGCAATAACAGACACAAAAAACATGTACAGAAGTCTGGATGGGCAACATTACGCACTTTTTCAAGTTTTCAGTCAATTTTTATCAAAATGTCATGTTACATGTTACATGTTGCGTGGAAGTTCAAAATTGTTTAATATGACTCATATATCATAATTAATCCATTTACAAGTTCAATAGTTCAGTTATGTTAGGTCAAAAATCTGTGACATTGCCCCTTTAAGTGTTGACAAGTTATTTTAGTGCACGGCCATTACGTAAGACATTAATGTATAGGAAGTCAGTATTGTTGAGACACTGTACGAGACAGCAAGCTGTCTAAGAGTTATTCAGTCCGTAGAGATTCACTCTTCAGGTATTGCAAATTGTATTTCATATTTCGGGTCTTTGATATTGTGTAATCCTTTAATCATTATCTAATCAGAGTCTAATCAATTTCAGGATGTATTAAAACAATATATTACGAAAAATCTCTACTGGATTGCGTGTGGTTTTGCCCAAACGGAAACAAGTATAATTGGGGACCGTTCATTTTAATTTTTATCAGGAGGGGGTTGGTGGTTTTGGGCGCTTTTTAATAATTTCGTCTCGACCCCCCAACAGATACTGGAAAAATTTCCTGTAGCCCCCTTTCAACTCCAAGTTTTTTCCCATGATCCCCCTACATGCATGGCCTGGGTATGGTCTTGGACATTTGGTCATGATAGGTCCTACCCAAGCATCACAAAATAAGCAATCATAAAGCAATATATTTCATTTTATAATAGGACAAAACTACATCTTCATTGTCTTTTTGGCTGTTTAATAAAGTTACAGGAAGTGAATTTTGTGCATGTTTGCCACAAAAGAAACAAAATAAAACTGATTTGCATTGCCTTAATACTCAATGTCACGTCCAGTAACTTTTAATAAACAGCCATGAAGATGAAGCTTTTTTCTAAGAAAATAAATTGCATTTTAGAATGCACTGATATCACAAAATAATATGTAAAGTTCCTAATTTGTTAATGTGTACTTTAAATTTAAATTGACTGCTGTACTTTGAGTTTTTATAAATGAAAGGTATGAAAATTGATTGCTTTGATTTTTATGTATTATGTATTCATTGATGTTTTGGTGGCCCCCTCAAAATTTAATTTTCCCGAGATGACCCACCTCTCACATCGCTATTTTTCTGGTGCTCCTCCCCCCTGCAAAAACTACCAGCCCCCTCCTGATAAGAAATTAACGGTTCCTTGACAAAAACGTTTTCATTTTCCTCCATTGTGTTCAAAATCACATGAAGAAACTATGGTTTCTCATTGGCTAATTGATTAAAACAGCTCAGCACTAAGCTCACAACATCCGCAGACGTTGAGACTTTTTCCTCGCGAGGTGAAAAATATCAAACACGATAGATGTTTTCCTCAAGGCCCAGAGAGGTCAAATCCTCACGAAAACTATCCACACACCAGAGAAACTTGCTGAGCTAGCCGCTACGCGAGGTAGTTGGCTCAGCAAGTTGCTCTCGTGTGCGGCAGGCTTTAATTACGTCACGACGACTAACACTGTTTTCAACTTAGGACCACCTTAAATGGAATAGATTTTAAGCTTGTTTCTCACGGGCTATGGTCAGAGGAGCAGAATATTCTTCTTCAACACATGCATAAAAAAGAATTTAAAATTCTTTTTTATGCATGTGTTGACGAAGGATGTTCTGCTTCTCTGACCATAGCCCGTGAGAAACAAACTTGAAATCTGTCGTGACGCAATTACTGGAAAAGTCTATTGGGTAGCAACGCTGTAAACAATGTTAGCCATATTTGTCTATACCGTCACTCCCATGCATGCACGAGGGAGAATGAGGCGACAGTAAATTGCTTCGTGGAGTATGTAGTGACCTTGCTGAATGTAATGCAAAAGACGAGAAAGAAGCACCAAAACACACTTGTTACAATTATTCACTGTGAACAATATGTAACGAATTATGGCTCCTTTTTCCTGAGAATTTCTGATAGCTTGTAAAAGCCGACGAAAACCTGCTTCTGTTAATGCTCGAAATTATCTGGATCTCATCGTTACCAATCTGTAACTTATAACTTTCGTCTTATGCGATTGTGCTCGTTGCATTTCATCTTTTAGTATAGTTTAAGATGTAATAGTTTCTGTACCGATCCTGACTGTTTTGCCTTTTACCTTCGTTCCTATACATAGTAACATTAACTGGCTTTCAACTACATCATAATAATCTCATCATAATAGAACAAACGGGAGAAGGAAGGTTTAGCAAGGTTTAACGTTCATTGTGGAAGTGGATCGACTGGGATGAAGCGAAAATTGTGGTCGATGAGAACAGAGGAAAGTGAGAGGAGAAATTGACTCGATAAGAGAAGAACATCTCGGAAATAAAGTTTTAAATAGCTTGCAACTGAATGTCTGTGCTGGCCAGAAAGGGATAAGAGCACACGTATTCTAATGTCAGATACATAATGTTATCAACATGGCGGAAGGTTGTTAGCTAGTGAGCTCCATAAGTTTCGACAATAACTGTGTTATTGAATGTACTTCTGCTGATATTCTTAAACATAAAGAATGTTTCAACCTATCTTACGATGGTAAACGATTAAAATGGCTTGATTCCTTAAAGAATTTTATCAAATTTGGTATCAAATAATGCGGTGATTGGACATCACCTGGCAATAGCTCTAAAAAGTTTTCATGTCATGGCCCGGTTATCTCTATTACTTGGTACCCTGGTAAACTAAACTCCCTTATTCTACACGGTGAAACAGGTCCTGCCTTTTCGGATATGTTGATCGAAGCCGCTCATGCTATAGCAAGTCAAAATAACCGCCTTTCGAAATCTACCTACTTATTAGACGAAAGCAAGAATCCAAACAATATGTCTATGTCTTATTGTACATTTAGCAGTATTGTATAACCGGATTCAGTGGTTGAAGTGGGATTCGAGAGTTCAAACCGCTTAGACAAGAACGATGCTCTGGTTAGCGGATGTGTGGAAATGACAAATAACCCCCTGCACAACAAACCAACGCAAAGCCAACGAAAACCAAACGAGTTTCTCCCCAGCAATGTCCCTGCAATGGGCGATACTCAGTGCTTGCCTAGCCTAGAAGAACAAATTATTTATGACCTTATTCATGATCCAGATGCACAAATAATTAAAGGGCGAACTCGTGAGGTTAATGAAATAAACGTTATCAATGCTTCACTTGAATGTAATCCTGAAGCCACCGAGGCGACGAATGACTCCCTGAGAGAATTAATTAGTATCAAAATTCCCAATCCAAAACCAAATGAGATCTCCCCCAGCAATTCTCCTACAACGAGCAATTTTCTATTGTATAGCCACGTAGAACTAACTAATTATGACCCTAAGCATGTTTCGCCTGTAAAAACCTCCCACGGTGATCAACATAAAAAAGTTGATTCGATTGCAAAGAAATCGACAAATATTATCGACCACAATTTACCACTTCTTGATAATAAACGATTTAACCCGACCTCTCCACCTCTCAAAGTAAACTTACAGAGATCGGAACAACCAAATGGACAAATACGAAGGAATTATTTTCGAAAGCGCCCCCGAAAACGTTCTCGTGCCCGACTATCCCAAGAACGAGACCGAGAGAATTACTATTACCAAACCTCTACCAAAACAGGCCAAAACATCAAAGTCCCATGGTTCCGGTATCATATACAAAGAAAGAACCCAGATTGGATCGAACATCTAGATCTGGTACGTCGAATAACTGTCTCACAATAACACGTAGTTCAGTTTATCAATCAGAGCCCCATGTAATAGAAAATCCCACACATGAAATCTCTACAAGAATTACTAGACGTAAGAGACGCCCGTATCAGAATCCAGGTAGAGCAGTCAACTATCATGCTCTGAAAAATTTGAAAAAGATAAAAATCCCCAAAAGGTATGATATTCCCACCATTCTATCTGCGAATGTGAGGTCGCTGCCATTGACGAGATTGAACATATAGCTCTGCTGAATTCTGTTGGTGCTATTTGTATAACCGAAACTTGGTTATCGCCAGAAATTCCTGACTCATCCATTTCTATTCCTGGTTATAATTTATTCCGCAGGGACCGAATTGAAACGTCTGGTGGTGGTGTGTGTGTGTACGTAGACCAAAATATACCATGCAAACTTCTGGAATTCAGTGATCAAACGGAGCTCGAATCAATATGGATATCAATGAGACCACATAGTTTACCACTGAGAAGTTACATCAATCGTAGTAGGCGTGGTCTATAATTCGACGAGTAATGGGAAACCTGAGAACATTATTTTACGTGATCATGTTCAAAAAAATCTTGATGCTGCGTTACTTAAACAGCCAAATGCATTAATTATTCTAACAGGCGATTTTAATCCAACATCGACTGGTTTTAATCAAAAATATATAACCCCAGTGAATAGCCTTAAACAGTTGGTTACCTTTAAAACAGGGGATTCTGGTATTTTAGACTGGTTGTTTACGAACAGACCTAAACTGTTCTCTTTAACCCAGCTACCTAGGATTGCATCATCTGACCATTATTCAATTCTGGCAAAGCCTATACTTGGAGGTGAAACTAAACTAATAAGTAAATCTAAAATACGCGATATGAGGGATAGTGCGTGGTGTGCGCTAGGTCGATGGATTACTCAAAAAGATTGGTCCTCTGTCCTCGAAGCTAATATGTGTAAAGATAAATTTGATCTTTTTAACTCAGATCTTAACCAGGCTATTGATAGATTCCTTCCACATAGATTCCTTCCATTCCTTCCTTCTAAGATAAAAAAAAGGGATTCAAAAACGCCAATCAGCTTTTATCCAGCAAGGGAAAATTTCAACAGCATACCGATATTGGAGAAACAAAGTCCAACGTTCCATTCGTGCAGCAAAATACCAATATTATAGCGTTGAAGTTACTGATGTACAAAGAATTAATTCCACAAAATGGTGGAGAGAAATTAAAAAACTCTCTGGGCAAAGTTCAAAACTGGAATGGCACCATCAGTTTCTAGAAAATAGCTCTGACACTAAGTTACTAGCTAATAGGATTAACAACTTCTTTACTGGCCTTACTGATAATTTTGAGCCCTTAACTCCACGCATTGTATCCCATGAAGTTCCACAGGATTTCTTTGTAACTGAAAACGAGGTCTACAGAGCATTATCATTGCTCCAAGTAAATAAATCAGTCGGTCCTGATTACATCCCGAATACAGTCCTGAAGGAATTCGCGCACGAGTTGGCACCTATCATCAAAGATATTTATAACCAATCAATGAAAGAGGGATATATTCCTGAACTCCTCAAATCATCAATTGTTATTCCAGTACCGAAGATCAACCCCCCTAGAACCATAGAAAATGACCTCCGACCTATCTCGTTGACATGTACCATAGCAAAGGTCATGGAAGGCTTTACATGCACAAGACTCCTACCTCAGTTAGAAGATAAGCTGGATCCGCGCCAATATGCTCGTAAAAATCATTCAACAACAGATGCTCTACTATATACATTGCAAGCAATCTACGAAGCAGTGGATATTGATCATACCTTATTGATCATACCATCCTACACGAACTAGAGAACCTACAAGTTCATCCTGCACTTTTGAATTGGATCGCAGCCTTTCTAACCAACCGTATGCAGGCTGTTAAAATTGATAGAGTTCTATCAGACTGGAAATCAGTGAAGGGTGGGGTTCCTCAAGGAACTAAACTAGGCGTAATTCTCTTTATTGTCATGACAAACAAATTGCTCTGGGAATGGAATCTTCGGACTAAATTTGTCGATGACACATCCGTACTGGAGATTATTCCAAGAAATTCCATTAGCGTCCTAAACAATGCTGCTGCTGACATACATAATTTTGCCACAGAGCATAATATGAAGCTAAATCCTACCAAATGCAAAGAAATGCTTATTAACTTCCTACGCAATCCAAACTTTCTGATTAAACCTATACAAATAGGTAACTACGTTATAGAACAAATGGAGACTTATAAGATCCTAGGTGTGATCATGAGTAGTGATCTAAAGTGGAACTGTCATGTCGGCCACATTATCAAGAAAGCCAGTAAGAAACTATATTCGCTAAGGGTACTGCGTAGAGCTGGAGTCGAAAATGATAATATCTTAAAAGTTTATTTAACTACTGTACGACCAGTGCTGGAATACGCCGTACCGGTATGGCAAGCCATCCCGGACTATTTGTCTGAGGCAATCGAAGTCGTGCAAAAGAGATCACTTAAAATTATCTATCCTGAGTGTGATTCGTACACAGACGCACTAAATCTAGCCGACATTCCTACACTCAAGAGTAGAAGAGATCTATTGTGTGAGAAATATATGGACAAAATGAAATCTAAAGACCATCCCCTACATAATCTACTTCCAAAACCGGTCGTCTTTGAGAATCAGCGTAATCTGAGAAGGAAATCAGAATAATTTTACCTATTTAAAAATAATACGGTCTGTAAAACGAACAGAGCACAATCCTTTTTTACTTTTAAATTTTTCCATTAATACTGTTTAATTGAATAATTAGAAATATGCTGTAAATATTAGGAATAAATAATAATAGTCTAAATTTGAACATCTTAATATGAACATTACCTTAGAAATATTATGTAAATGTTACTAGTAAGCTCGTTAATTCAGTTGTATAACTGCAAGAGAGTTTTAATAAACATCAATAATAATTCTTTAAAAACACTAAATCCATTTCCTGTTACAACCGATTTTTTCGTTAATATATCAGTTGAAGAATATTTAAAACCTTTGCACAACATACAGTACAGTACATATATGGTTAAAGTTTTAATTTTTATATAGTTTTTAAAAAAATAAATAGATTTTACATTTTACATCGTTGTCTGCTTTGAAAGAGTCAAAAATATTTCCTGATCATTACTTTCAATGAAAAAATCATAAAAACTTTCACTGTTTTGAATAACAACACAAGGTTTCGTTGATCCACATGTTTATCAACAGGGACGCCGGAACGATGTGAAGGCAAGGGGGGCAGATTTTCGTGAAAAGGCACTTTTGAATTGATATATACTAAGAGATGTTTAAAAAACATCGGGCAGTTGAACTTCGCCTAATCATGTTTTCTATTTATTGGATGATAGGGGTGTGAGGGGGTTCTCCGCCAGGCGATTGTGCTATTCTGGAAGCTCGATGACTGCATTTCTTGCGTTTTCTGAAGCAAATTCGTAAAAGAATTGCACTAACATTTCTGACAATTCGCTATTTCGCCAAGGCAATCCTTTAAATTGAAAGGGCACCTTGCCCCCCCCCCCTTGCCCCTTCTGGTAAAGGGCAATGGGGGCGGCTGCCCCTCCTGCCCCCCCCCAGTTCCGGCGTCCCTGTTTATCAAATCCCATGCAGGTCTATCCGAATACCGATACTTCGGGTGTTGCAGATTGATCCACGTCTTTATGGACATTCCTGATATCCTTTGTATCGAAGTTCATTCCGTTTGTTTTACATAACATCAACCCAGATTAGCTCTACCTCTTCTCAGCCATTAAATTGCATGAAACTTTGTGTTTGCTCCAATGCTTAACTTGACATTCCCTATACAAGAAAATGAAAGTATATTGCTCAATAAATAATTTGTCAGATATGAAGAATTCAGAGTTTTGAGATGTCAGCTAGAATTGAAAGCTCTCTCAAACTTCGGATTGATAGGGATGCAACTACCTGAAAAATACAAGAAGAACTCGACATTTCGAGCGAAGGTCCTTCGTCGTGAAGTTAGAAGCCAAACTGTCTGTTTTATATAACACGGATTCCAAGAATCAATGGGTTAGGGAGGACTTTAAAGAAGTTGAATTTCTGCCATCAGTGCCATGCACCTTCTCTACGGTATATTTGTATTGACATTTGGTACCAAAGCTATCTTAGAATATACCCCAAATAACAGTTAAGTTTCATTAAAAAACTCGTTAATAATTCATGAGGAAAATACAAAAGAAATGAATGTCAATGTTTGCAAATCGGATAAAGATTTGTCCTGATTTACATAAACTTCAGCTTTGATTTTCTCGGCTTAGCCTTAGACAATGTTTATTTTTAAAATTACTTTGCCAATGAACTCATAAGATGGGTCGTTTTTTAAGCACGTTAAAACATTCGCATCCAAATTATCCGCGAGAACTAGATGTTTTAACTAGTATTTAATAGTTTACCTTTTACAGTACCATTCATTTTGGCATCTCGAGCACCTCTTACTGGCTGACTGACCACAATTCGCACATTTAGGAGGATCACTTATCAATCCTTCAAGAGATTCTATACTGTACGTGTTCGCCCATCTGCAATGTATGATTGAATATAAATAGAGGATATTACACGGCGGCGCGAAGATATGACTTTTATCTTCGAGTGGTGAAAACAATATTTTACGAACGAGCCCAGCGAGTGAGTAAAATATTGTAAATTGTGAAATTTCACGCTCAAAAGCAAATTGTCACGTGATCGATATCTTATATCTTCGTGAAGATATGGAAAATATCTCACTGTGTATTTTTCAGTATCTCACTCGCTACTATATAATAAAACAGAATATGTATTAAATATATATAAGCCATGTTATGTTTCTAGGATGTGACATCACTTCTTGAATTGAATGCAAGGGAAAGAGTTTCTCTGTAAACTAAATCGGCAGAACAGAAAAAAGCTGCAAAAGCACCTGAGTAGCAACCTCATGCCCAAGGCCTTCCAGCGGTAAAAAGGCCTGGGTGCCAGGTTGTCTGAGACACACCGAACGCGATTTGACAACGCGGCGCGATTTTTCAGTTTTTAAAAGTTAATAAAACAGCCAATGAAAGGAAATTTAGAAGATATGTAGACCAAATAGCTTAAATTGTTAGAGCGCTTCTAAATATTTGGAGAACTTAAACCAGGATCAGTAAGAAACGAAAAATCGCGCCGTGTTGTCGAATCGCGTCCGGTGCATCTCGGCCTTAATACGTAAATGCGCGCGATGTAGAACAGGGCCTTTTCCATTGGTAAGTCATTAAGGAGTCAAATTCATAGCCTTTCAAATTCTGGAGGTTTTACCTCCATTTTGAAGCTCGAGTTATGAGCATGTAGTTGCATTAACTAACCGCAGTGTTACATTTTCACGTACATTTTCGCTTGATTCTTTAGTTGTTGTCCAGATGGATTGAAACAATGCTTCATCTGATGTTTTGCTATTTTCCCCCACATATCTTTATTTTCTTTCAAAAGTTTGTCTCGTATTTCTGGAACCTAAAACAGACAAAATTGCAGTAAGAACAATAAAAATAGGTACATTAAGCGTACATGTATCTGCGCCAAGTTGCTGTTGTTGACTGTTTACTTTGTTTTCAGTGTATGCTACTTAATATTTATTCCGTTTTTCGATATACCTGGCATACTTAACTAGGGTATACCTATTTCAGTGCATATAGTAGACAAAGTGTCACATGGTCCGCAACTTTCCCAAATGTAATTATTTTTCAAAGATCATACTAACTTGTTCTAAGACTAGATCCTTCTTTGCCATTGGTGGTTCGACAACTGCCAGATGTTCCAAATATCTTTGTAAATCAATAAGATTTGGAATTTGATCCAGAAGAATTTCGTTCAAATAACCTCGAAGCTGTTCATTTAAAAGAAAACACTAAGTACAATAAATTCACGTTTACTATGACATGGACCGAAAATACCAATGGGATCGCACGCCATGGCTAATTATAACACTTCGTGCTGGTTGAAGAAAATAGTTCAATGGCGCTCTACGTTAGACTTCGCATCTAAAGCCACGCATATTTTGAGTCTATCCTCATTATCCTCTGCATAGAGAGTGTTTACGAATTTTGCATACTTTATACAACTAAGAATTATTGGATGAGGCCGAGGGCTGAGAAGGATATCAGAATTATTCAGACCGAGGTCAGCGTTAGCAATAACGCTGACGGAGATCTGAATAATTCTGATATCCTGCGTAAGCCAAATTCAATAATTCTTTTATTATTCATTCTGTAACAAAAACAATTTGCTCTGTTGAAACCGAAGCAAAACGAGCAGAAGCTATTGTCAAAACAAAATACTTTTACAAAATTTCCCGCTCTTTTCCAATTCATGCAAAATACCGCTGCGGGCACCTACACTACAGATATTTATGTGTCATGTTCACAAGCAGATACGAGATTTATTTGTCATGTTCATGTCTGCACCGAGATACAGAAAATTATCTGTAGGCTTTCAACCAATAAGAATACGAAAAAATAGTACAATGAATAATAAACGAATTTATTAGCTAGAACTGCACCAGAGTGCAAAGCTGCATGGTATATTTTTGTTGTAGATCAAGCAGATTAAGGCACAATTGCATGGTTCGAAATCTGATTGGGAGTACGAATTTAAATTGTCAACATATTCCGTCCATCACTGATTTGACATGCATATTTTGTACAGCATACATTATCTTCTTGAGGCAACCAACTTCATGTTCCAATTGTTAACTATATACTTAATACATTTTTAATATTCAGTATGAGGATGTACGAATTCGTTAATTGATTCGTTGACAAAAAAATGGTTTTATTAATTACCCTACTTTTTCTTCAAGACTTTCCTTTCTTTACCTTTAAAATTTGAGTTTTATTGTATGTATTTAATTCATATTTACGTCTGCATTCAGGATCCATCAACAAATGAAACAACGAAAGCCAAACCTAAGTAAAAATCAATAACAAGTTTCGTACTTGTTGTCACAAATAATTATCGTTTGACTTAATTTGTACATATCCGATTCAAGATGAAGAAACATAGTACTATATACTGTTCATGTTTAGGCCAGACTTTATATTTCCTATGTTTTTTTGGGTTTTTTTACGGATCCGCCGACTGTAAAAACTGGAAATGAAAAAAAATTGAAAATATACCTCAACTATCTCACAATTGATGATTTCCCTTATTACGTTTTCGTAGCGCTTTGCATTGTGGTTATAGTGGTATCACTGATAAAGATAGCGGCCTCGAATGAAAATATTGAATGTTTTCGCGAATATTTTGCTGTTGGCTATCGCGCACCTGACCCTAGCTTTTTTCAAAAGTTCTTGCACGGGTCAGGAAAAAAGATAAGCCATCTTGAATATCAGTGATACCACATAACCACAATGCAAAGCGCTACAAAAACGTAAATAAGGGGAATATGAGGACCGCTGGCTCATGAGGACCGCTGGCTCATGTAAATTCGTGCCCTAAATTGAATAAAATCGTTTGGCTTTATAAAATACTACAGGAATAAGATGCTCCAGAAGGCAAAGATTGAATTTGGTTCTGCCGACCTACCGACGATTCTGTTTGGAAAAAAAAACAAGAAATAAAAAAGTCTGTCCTTACTGAAGAAACAATACCTGGCCTTCATTTTTAGTAATGTGAAATCTTTCTGAATCAGGTAAGCTCTTCCACTTCCCATCAATAAATTTTAGCAGGTTTCCTAGAAATTTTTATCACAAATTTAGCAGGTTTAATTTCCTAGAAATTTTTATCATCATAGTTTATCGGCTGTAAAAATGATTACTTTACTGTAAATAGTAGCTTAATTGGACAATGAAAATTATGTAATTCCAAATGGTACGAAAATAAGGGAAATTTATATAAAAACCTAATATACCTTTTTTATCTCTCTTGATCCACGGAGGTCTCTCGGCAAGTTGTACTAAAGCTACTGGAATATCTGAGAAATAAATCATGTTAACATTAAGGCCATTTATACGGGACAAAATAAGTCGCGACTTACATAAAGACGCGTCTTATATAAGCGGAGTTATCGCATAAATGGTTCTCTACGGCTTTATTCTTATTTACTTGCTATAGCTATAATGTTGTTTCGGTTGTTTTTGTTTTAATATGCAAGGCTAATAATTTTACGTTGTTTCAAGTTTCGGGCATGTGTAGTTAGAATATTTGTCTAAAATTTCTTATTTAAGACGCGACTTAAATAAGAACAGCTAAAAGTCCTGTTACATAACAATTTTGTACCTTTTATACGACAAACTCGCGTCTTATTTAAGTCGCGTCTTATGCAAGTCGCGTCTTATTTTGTCCCGTATAAATGGCCCTAATGTTATTATGTTAACCGTAATATAATTACGGCTGTCTAAGTATAATCACAGTTAAAAAGGTATAGTTGAAAAAACTAGTGTGCAGCACGAAACATTCTGAAACATGCAGATATATACAAGATACATGCCCTATTACACTTTACGGGGCTAGAATAAAGCAACCTTCCTAATTTCCATGAAAATAATAATATGGTATAATATAAGTAACTTTCTCACGTAATTTCTTATCTCAAGGGGAAGATATTGTATCAAATAAGTCCAAAATATGTGTTCCTATCCAAACATTTATTGGCCATATTTAGTAAGTATACATTTCCTGAAACGTTTGGCAGGGGTTGTTTGGGGGTGCACGGGTGCATAGTCAAACTGGCTCCATACGTCACCATATAAATAGTGCAAGGGTTCAGTTATTATACATTTAGCTTCTTACCATGGGTATTTAAAATTCTAGTCATGACGCTCAATGGCAAACTAAGAAACAGAATAAGTGATTAAATTTACATCAGACATTTGGAAACAAAGAGATTTCCAATACATGCAGGCAATACTTACCTGGACATATGATCTATAATGTAACGTAATATAGAAACTGCCTTGACGCCGACATTGAATCTGATCTCTTCAGCCTGATCAATCAACTCCTGTTGAACAGACAATGGAAATCCAAAAATGTGATATAGAACGAGGTTTTATATCCATTTTACATATAGATCAAGCCTCTAGGTCATACAAACTTTGCTACAATAGTAGTTTTCGATATCATGGTTGGTCAATGTACTAGAGTGATTAAAAAACTTTCTAAATTCCACAACTAATAATAGGGTGATGGGGTTCTGGGTAAAAACCGTCTGAAAAACCAAATAAAAAAATTGTATAAGTTATATATCAAAATATACTATAAACAGTTAGATTAAACTTCACACAAAATGTTCAAGACCTTAGTTTTAAAAACAATGTTAGGTGTGTTATTTTCTCATGTTTTTAACGTTTGAAAGTTGGAAGTTTCGTCAGAAAACGTTGAACTAGCGCCGTGATTTTGACAACATGCCATTTTGTTTCAATATTATTGAGTTTCATACATATTTTCCCGTCCCCCCCCCCCTACGGTTTTTTGCCTAGAACAACAACGATTGAATCGTTTTTTTCCGTTTATCGATGAACCCCCACACCCTAACATTATCAGAAATTATCAACCCAGATGCATTTCTTTTATGCGAACGTGATTTACAACTTGACACTCAGTGCAGTGGCAGGAACCGCACGACACTAACCCCCCCCCCCCCAAATAATCTTGAAAGACATTATAATTCACAATTCACAAGCATTGTTTAGGAGCAAGTGGCAAGCATGCAATCACACCCATATAACGTAATTGTCATTAAATAATGACTACTAAATAAAACTTAAGCTTAAGTTAGCAATATATAGTAAGCATGTGTAGGATTCTTACAGCTCTACTGATAAAAATTTTAAACAATTAGAACCATTAGAAATGATAGTAATACAGTTACTATACATTAAACAACAACGCAAATTGACATGATGTTTAATTCATTTTCTTAGAAAAAATGTCTAATGTCAGTCCAATGGCACAACTCGGGACTCTTTATTCATTTCATCAAGTGACCCATGTTCTGAAAGATTCGCATAATTTAAGCCTTAAACCCCTTTGGCATACATGTTGAAAATTTCGCCCCCTCCCCCAAATATTTCGTGAAGTGTCCGCCACTGGGTCTACCACTAGAAATTTCTACCATGTATGGTATAGACCCTGATTTGTCATGACAAACATTGATGTGTTTGAAAAACAAGTTTGCCTACCTTAAGTGTCGAGTTAGTTTCTTCATTTGTGGTCTCGGCATCGCAGTCCTCTCTGTCATTAAATATAACAAGATAAAATGCAGTTTCTTAGTCAAGGACCTTGCTCCGTTGCCAATCTGGCATCGTCTGCTTTTTATTTAATTGTTTTGTTTTCCTTCAAAACATTACGTTTATTTGATTTCTCTGTGTGTTGGTTGATTTATTTGGCAACCGTAGGCCAGGATTTATTTATCGCGGATTTTTTAAGGCTTATTTATTTATGTTTTTAAGCGTTATTTATTTAGCATATTTTTTAAGCGTTATTAATTTGGCAATCGTAGGCCCAGATTTATTTAGCGGATTTTCTAAGCGTTATTTATTTGGCAACCATAGGCCCGGATTTTCAATATATGACTGCGTTTTCCAAAAAAATAAAACAATTGTGATGGCCATGCAAACCTACAAAGAACTTAAAATGTTTTGGTTTGTATCCCCAGACTTTATACTGCTTATTGTACTTTTGCCCCATGACCTATAGTTTCCATGTTTGCCTGATTAGCATAGCAGGCGCACATGAAGGTTATATCGCGCCATGTTTCCTATACAAATATGTTTCTCTTTGATCTTGAGCCTAATCACAAACCTATCCTTAATCCTATTGTGCACGAAACATGAGGAAATAACCACATGAAAACGAGGCCATTGGGACAAGAGTGCATTCTCGTACCCAGAGCCCTTCTTATGCGCGGTGCGACGAGGGGCTCTGGCCAAATCCATAACCGGATACCATAAAAACATAGTAAGAAAACAATGTCCGGTGTTAGAACTAGCCAATCAGATGCCAGTTCGGAATATGGATTTGGCCAGAGCCTCTCGTCGCAACGCGCGTAAGAAGGGCTCTGGGTACGAGAATGGGCAAGAGTGCAATAAACAGTACAGTCAACCTCGTAGCCAGGCTCTTTCCACTACGCTCCTCGCTGGAAGAAAGACCCTGGTCCAGGCTGATCACGTGTCTCCCAGATTTTGGGAGATAACAAAATTTTTACATAAGGGTGGTGGGCTAATTTTTTTTACCGATCCGGTTGCCGATCAAGCGAAGAGCGTAGTGGAAAGAGCCTGGATATGAGGTTGCAGTACATTCTATTTGCTTTCAGATGGCAGAAGCAAGACTAACAAAAGATATGTACATGCAGTGCGTATATACAATGCTACAATTTTTCAATTTACCTTGCTATTAGATAAGCAATTTGTCTATGGCAGAAGTCTACAAGATCAATAATATTATCACCAGCTGCCTCACAACTCTCCTAAATATATTAATTTATATTAATTACAACAAAGATAGCCTGTCAAGAAGAGCAACTATCGTACCCTGTGCTGGCCGTCTGCTGAAAGGAACGAGATGTCGCGAGCTTGCGATATAATACCCCAGTCGTTTTATGTGAATTCAAGGGGGTTGGAGGGGAGGATCTATAGTGCATGAGTTGATTGCAGGCGCGTGGAGAACGATGGTTATTTTTCCCAACCACTGATCTATATATGCTACTGATATGTGCCAAAAATAATTACACTATCCTCATTCCAGGACTGCATGCTAAATAGCAGTAGCCTGGGCCTTTGGAAGGCATATGAGTACTACTGTGAAAACGTTTTTACAAGAATACGCTATATAAGTCTTACAGTTTGATATACCCTATCGTCATATCAGCGAATGCCTCTAATTAAATTAATTTCCTTGTTCAAATGACTTGAGAATATATGTTTATCATTTGATATTTTGTTAAATATACTATTTGTCTATAGCTAAAAGTGTAGGATAAACGTACTTTATAATACAGTGTTGTCTCCAGCAAACTTATCAAGCTGACTTCGTGAAACAGCTAAAAACAAAGACAAAAATAGTTATTATTTATATGATCCAAACTGTTCGTAGGCCTAGCACTATGTTTTCCAAATAAATAATCAGTTAAGCGTGCTTTTTACACAAAACGGTTGATCGTCACGAATCTACAAAGGATTCTGCCACTAGTTTTCTATTTTCTGATTTGCACCTACAAATATTTTTTTAAACACTTAGCAAACTAATCATACCACCATGTACATGGGCAAGGTAGTTCCAGGGTTAAACTCAGATTGAAGTATCAATGGCAGAACTTTATTTCTCCATATCTCGCTGACTAACACATCATGGATAATAATAGGAATCTAAAGATGAAAGAAAGGTTATACAGGTAATACTACAAGTTAATCAATGATGATATGATTAATTAATATGTAACAGTACTTTTTCATGTGAAATTAGCAACTCCTTTACAAACTCGTCCGTATTCATAGAAGCATTCATTATGGCCTAGTAGAGAAACAAAAAATAAAAATATAACATACACAAATATGAAAAAAATATTTGACAAAAAAAGGAACAGGGTGTTTTCACATAGAATCAAGTTTTATACATGGAGAAGGTTGAAAATCGGATTAACTATGCAGAAAACAGACATATTAAGAGAGATATAACTACCAGAACCTCGACGTTTCGAGCGAAGACGAAAATTGTTTGCTTTATGATTTTTAGGTCAAGCGATATTGGTCAATGTTATCGCGGTCATCACCAACACCGGCTCACTTCCATTATTTTCTATTTGGTATATATATGGAAGGAAAAATCACCACATGCACTTACTAGAAAACGCCAATTAGTTCACGTTTTATTGGGTTTAAAGGAATGACTAAAAGCTAACATAGAATGTACAGAACAAGTTGATGACCGTCTAAAGTTCAAGCCATTGTTATAAATATAAAACTGATACTGCTTAAATTTTTTCGGCAACCATGCATCATAAATTTACTTTCAATACAGAGGACTTCTGGAATGCACAGTGTATTGTGAGATACTTTTGGGTCAATAATTCATTGTTTGAAAATTACATGACTTAAGCACTTCTAAGGTTCATTCACTGGTTCAGCCCTTACACTTTTCTACATGCATGTCTGAGAATGGTACCGGAGTGGTTCGCGACTTCTTCCTACCACCTCAAGAGCTCAATATATGCTGGCATAAGCAGAGCCTGAAGACCTTTGCCTCATAGGATAATTATCTTCTGTATAATTTAATCAAGTGTTTAAATGCGCAATACATGTGGTTCGAACTAGAGGGTCATTCGAATATCACCGAGACCTTTCCTCATAGGAGTGTCCATATTTTGTCATGGTGGGGGGGGGGGGGGGGAAAAAGAGGGGGTATAATAGAATTAGTCCACCAAAAAAGGGGGATTGTTAGGGAGAGGTTATTAAGATCTATAACTCAACGACTGAAACCCCAACTTCACAAAAAAACAATTAATCCATTCACATGGTAGTCAATACTGAGCAATAATTACCTGCATATTAAGCTTTTCAATGTGTTCGTGGTTAACATGCCACCTAAAAATTAATGCATATGAGATAACTACATTTGCCAACTTTATTTTTTATTCTGGCACATAGGTAATATTAAGCGGGCCCACAATAAGTACTTAGGTTGGTGAATGCATTATGTATGGGGAACTTTCATTAATACTTGTCTGAGAAAGATCCTCCAGATTCGCTGGCCTGACACCATCAGCAACAAAGACCTATGGCAGAGGACCAACCAGACCCCAGCAGACGAAGAGATACAGAAAAGAAGATGGCTGGGACATACACTGCGCAAACCAACATCCAACACCACAAGACAAGCCCTCACATGGAATCCTCAAGGGAAAAGGAAAAGAGGCCGACCACAAAACACCTGGTGCCGAGACCTAGAAGCTGACACCAAGAAGATGGGTTACACCTGGGGACAACTTGTGAGTGTGGCACAGGACAGAGACGCATGGAAAACTCTTGTCGACAGCCTATGCTCTAGACTAGGGTGGGTTTACTGGGCTTGATGATGATGATGTTAGTCCAATTATTTAGATTGTCTAAATCCTCTTGTAAAGTGGCGTGGTCCTGACCGTTATTAATTTCTCTAAAAATGATTCCATCGTCAGCAAGCAAGCGAATTTAGGATTTAATATTCTCAGAAATATCGTTTATATAGAGAAGAAATAACACAGGTGCAAGAATTGTTCCTTGAGGTACTCCAGATATGACAGAGTGGGAGTGGGAACCATTAACCGAGACAACTTGAGAGCGGTTGGAAAGAAACGCCCGATCCAATTGGCGGAAAGTCCTCTAAAAACATAAACATGGTCTAAATATAGACGCCGCGAAAAATTTTAAATCCAACACCAACGGACAAAATAGTAAAATTTTGTTTTTTTTTACAGAATATTATACCACAAAATACCAAGTCCTTAAAGTGCTTATGAAACGAAATTTTCACCTCATTTTTTATTGTTTTGCTAAAAAGTACAGCTAGAGCGATGAAGAACGACGTTTACAGTTTCTTCATATCTCATCTCATTCTCAAGTTATCGCACTTTCTAAATTTTGAGTTGTGACGTCACTAGTTTGACTTGAGCTAATGGCAATAACAAGAAAGTCTGATATCTTAGTGAGTATGTAATAAAATTCAATGAAACTCGGTACACTTAGTGAGTGCACCCATATGAATATTTTTGGCAGGTCATGTGGTTGCCATGGCAACACACTAGTCCCCAGTCTCTTCTCTTCCTTTTCAAAAATTTCCTCCTGTAGACCTCTTGCAGAGGATGTTTGCATGTTATAATGATTTAAACTGATCACAATACCTACACATATTATAGTAATAAGGGACAATTGCAGAAATTACTATTTATTTCGTTGGAAATGGATCATATAGAAATTGGAAGAAAAGGGACTGGGGACGAGTGTGTTGCCATAACAATCATATAAACAAGCCAAATTGTTCACTTCGTTGCACCCACTACGTGTGCCAAGTTTTATTGAATTTTATTAAATGATCATCAAGATATTACGAAAGTCACCGAACTGTGGAATCGCATCAAAAATTCGTATATCGACCACTCCCACAAACGTCTACGACCGCGCCTACATAGTTTTGCACGTTTACAATTCTAATTTTAAACAGCCAATTACCAAGAACCTGATTGGCTGTTCAAAATTAGAATTGTAAACATGCAAAACTATGTAGTCGAATGTAGGCGTGGTCGTAGACGTTTGTGGGAGTGGTCGATATACGAATTTTTGATGCGATTCCACAGTTCGGTGACTTTCGTAATATCAGATTTTCTTGTTATTGCAACTATTTTGAGTCAAAATATAGAAAGTGCGATAAATTGGGAATGAGATGAGATACAAACAAACTGTAAACGCCATTCGTCATCATTTAAGCAGTACCTTTTAATAAGACAATAAAAATCGAGGCAAAAATTTCGTTTCATAAGCACTTTAAAATAATATTATACACCACAAAATACCAAGTTTTGAGAGTGATAGTGAGCAAATTGTATGTTAAGTGTTAACCACTAAAAAAAACTTTGAAGGCGCTAGTTGTTCGGTAAAAACTTGAAGATCAGCACCGTTCGTAGCAATAGACAGGAGATGGTGCCAAGCCTACGCAATGTTAAAAATCCAAAATATATTGAGACAAACAGACTTTTTCAGCGAAATTATCATAGACAGACAAAGCTAGAATATATTTAGATTTATTATGACACCAGATTTGCTTTATTTCTTTAAGTTTGACTTTTTTAGAGCTTAATTAATCGGAGATCGAAGGCACCGCACCAGGGCCTCTTCTAATACCATAGACTGGGGGCACTTGTCTCCCCCCCCCCAGCCCCGGGTTTTGGAATGGAGTCAGTGGTTAAATTAACATATATATCCTGTGTTGCTGTTTTAGTTTTCTTTACATTTACAAGAAAAGTTTAAAGATGCTGTAAAGTATGTTCTGCGTATCAGTTCTGCTCATAACAAAGGGGTAACTGCACTCCGCGGATATAAACATTGCCAAAATGTTGCATCTTTTGAACGTTTTTGAATTGAAACGTAGAGTTAATTTATATTCATTTACAAGCATAGCAAACCAGAAAAGTGTTAGATATTCAGTTCGTATATCATATTTTACAAATATAGCAGTTCAAAATGTAAACAAAGCGTTTGCATGTTCACATTTACAGGATTCGTACACCTTCTCCCATCTAAAATATTCCATGACTTTTCCATGACCACTTTTTTCAAAATCCATGACCTGGAAGTCTGGAATTTCTGAAATTCGTTAATATTTTAACGATAACAGATATAATAAAAGAACAAAATTCACTTTGCTCTTGCAAAAATCCATTATATAACAACAATTCATATTATTTGTTATGACTGGTAATTTGAAATAACTAAAATACATTATTTGTAAAATAATTTTCAATTTTCCATGACTTTCCATGACTAAAATTAATTTTCCAGGATTTCCAGGCCTGGATTTTGGAATATTGAAATTCCATGACTTTCCAGGACCTGTACGAACCCTGCATTTTATAATACAGACTTTAATTTGGAGCATCTTTAAATACAATAACATAAATGAATTTGATTTTCTATTGCTGATCTATGAAATATATAATACTATTTTCCCAGGGTTCAGAGACATAATTACCCTTTCCCCGGGGGCAAGGAAAGGCTCTTTTACTATCCCTCTAACTCAAAATCCCTGCCCCTCCCCGATTGGGGGGGGGGGGGTTACATTGACTGGTGCATAATTTGTTATACTGTTATCAAGAATAATATACTGTTATATACCATAATACCAAAACTATTATAATACTTGATGCAATCTCTTACTTGGCATTTCCCAAGTCTTGGATGTTATTAGGTTTCAGTGCTTGTACATACAACTCTGCTTCGCTTGCCAATACGATTTGGGACATTTCCGCCATGTCACTGCCAATCAATGGTTGGTTAGCACTATTTTCCATCCAGCAAACTGACCTGACGTCATTTTCGAAAGATGGAAGAGGTGTTAAATGGCAATGTAACTAACCCAAACCCTACCCTTACTCTAACCCCTAACCGCAACCCTAACTCTAACCCTAACCGAATTAATAACAAAAATCCAAAAAGAAAGACTTTAGAAAATCGATAGGGCGGTTTGCTGGATGGAAAATAGTTAGCACAACTCTAATTTAGTTGCCATAGAGCAGGACGCGAACATCTGCGCGTGCTCAGAGGCAAAATCGTGAAAAAGCTGTAAAAATCTACCAAATCCGGCCAAGCTTGGCCAAGCCACATTTTGTTTTTAAAATGCACATAAGAAAACACATGACACGAAATTTGTTCTCCAATTTTTATGATACTTGAAAAGAAATCGCAGCTGAAAGAAATCCCACCAGACTCAACCACGCATGCGCGTGTGTCACCTGTTCCTGTTTAATTAAAAATGCAAACAAATATGGCAAAAATACATACGAAAAACATGTGCAACATCAACAAACAATCATGACACACTGCTCAAAATGCTCTTATCGCATAGAAAGTTTACATTTTTGAGACGACTTGCTAGAAGACGAATAGTCTTATTACTAGGTATTTTATCACTTGGTGTTGTATGGCTTGTCAAGGGCTATTTAAATACAGCATATATAAAGGTATAGTACGTACAGTATATGTTTTTATGGGGAACAGCAATTTTATAAATTTGTAATTTTTTGACATTTATAATTTTATGTCAAAGAATGAAATTGTATATTATATATTAAATTGTATACTTTATATGTTAGAAAAAGAATTACTATGCAAAACAACCTGCTAAATTTTGTGGTTCAGTGGACAACTCCCATCTCTGCCCAGTGGGAGTTTTCGAAGAAACAATTGTCCCCCCAGGGTGCATTTTAAGTGGCCTACGCCGAAGATCTTTGGCGTGAGTTTGGCAAATTACAATACTATCTATTATAGTTAATATTGGCTTATCTTCGGCGTAGACTTTACATGGAATGCACCCTGGTTGTCCCTGGGACAGTCATGTAGAAGTGTCCCCATGACAGTCATGGTAGCTGAGAAGTAGTAGTTTTGAATGCATGGAATTCTGGCGTTTATAGTTTCCTCGGGTGAGATGCCTGGAAAGTTAACTTTTTCCATGCTGGACATCGATTCAGGGCTTTCAGGCACATGTAACTGTACGCCAATTTTGGAAATGTAAATGCGCAAAAGTTCTAAATATGCCTTTTTAGTATAAACCTATTTGGTCCATATTTGTTGAATTACTAGTCTATTTAAACAAATGTACGCCATTATGTACGCCAAAGTTTGTGTTTGTACACCGGACAAGTCCGGCGTACACGCCTTACATTCCAGTCTGGTGGCCTAATTATGCATGGTTCAATTCTTCCTGTTACCCCCCCCCTGGAGAAATGTACACCAACATTTCCTGGGGATGGGGAATGTTGTTGAGCGTCTGGTCCCAGGTTTCTCATGAGGGTAGTGGTGGAGAATATAAATGTTCACATGCAAAAAGCTGCATGCTTCCCAATTAAAATAAGGCTCCAAAAGAAAAGCTGTCATGATACTGTAGTTCGCATTTCTGCAGAAAAAGGCATGCTTTATATTCCGAGCATGTAAAAGCTTTATGTTCCTATAGTGCTCCAAGACATGGAAACAGATTTTAAAAAATGCCGACCTAGGTCAGATTAAGCTCGGCATTTTTTTGCCAGCCTCAATTTTGACGGTTTTCGAGGGCTGAAGATGGCCTTAGAATACCATACCCCCCCCCAATATTAGCTATAACCCCCCAAACAAAATGTCCACCCCTCCAAAAAAATTTTCAAACTCCCCCCCCAATATTCGGCATAATAAAAAATAATTAAATAGTCCACTCCAATGTGCAGAGTGTTGATGATACAAAATAAACGTAGGAGTACACTCAAATAGAAATACTCTGAAACTAATCGTTCCTCACATTCACTGGTTTATTGGAGCAATTGTAAAGTTTTAAAACTCTATTATCTCCCCTGAATAGAGTTTGCAGTGCCTTGTCATGCAAATAGCTTGCTTGCAAGGAACGTTTGGAATTTTTACGAACATTATTTTTAGTTTTTAATTCTTTTAGGAAATAGACTTGCCTAGATTTAATCTTTATGCCCCAAATATTATTTACATCAGAGTTGCATCATAAAGTGTACTCAGATTCAAACGACACAATGTCAATGACTGTATAAAAGTAAAAGCATATATTTGTGTATTGGCCTATTGGGTTTACACTTTTGCAGGTTCATTTAACTTTAACTCTCTCGAGTCTCAACAGACAATCGGGCATGCCAAATCCATGGATATGACTATTATGACAACTTCAAAAAACTTTCTTTCGAAGCTTGAAATCATGATTTTATTCAAATTTTTCCAGGGATACTTTCTAGACTCCCCCTCGCGGCTCTAGTGCTCCACCCCTAGAATATAGACCTTACTGGAGTTTGGTGACACTTTGTGTTGCAGTAGCGTAACTCCTATGAGCTCTACCCGGTAAGAGCCGGGGGCACCCAGGCAATCGGGCTTCCAGGGGGTACCCTGAACTGAGTTGTCCGGTGGCCTTGTTTAATATATAATTTCCGTTTCGTAAAGCTATTAAGAACTTTTGAGATTCAGATTTTCTGTATCAACTGCAACAGCACAGTTGGTATATAACGTGACTCCAGAAGTTGAAGTGAAACTAAGACAAAGCACATATGAACAATGGAAAAATGGAATGTCTTCGGAGCCAATGGCAGTGAAGAAGTACACGACATGTTTCGACAAACGGAACTGACAAACAACTGATCTTGTTTTCATGTGATTTCTTCAGAATGGCTTCCACTTGCCAGGATATTTCCAATTTAGAAGGAAATTGTAATTAAGGGACCGGTCATAAAGCCCTTGCATAAAAATTGATGACCCACCCCTGCGTTGAAAATTTGCTTCAAGACAAACTCTTCACTTTCTTTGTGTTCTTTCTTGTTCCACTATAGTGTGTACTACATGACATAGCCAACAAGTAGTGCACACTTTAGTGGTGAAAATTCATGGATAACCCTTCATAACTGCTGTCCAGTGAGCGAGCCTGAAGCTAGCCTGAAGCGAGCGGCGAGCGAAGCAGCATTCTAATATGTGCAGAGAGGTGGTTTTGAAGTAATGAGGGGCCAGGCCCACTGTAATTGGCAATAGTTGTTGTGGTTTCCCAGCCAGTGAATATATATATAAGTGAATATATAATATGAATATATGTATAAGTATTATGGCAAAGTAAATAAATAAATTTTATTTAGCGCATTGCATTGTCGTCGTGCGCCTTGCTATGCGCAGAACACAAAATATAAGTGACATGCGACATACAGTATTTGAGGCGTATTTGAAAGATATCGTTTTTCTTGCTTCGACTTGTAAATTATTTTGACTCAGGCACTCAGCGTAAGGTTTAGTAAAGTTTTAGGCCCTGCAAAGGCCATAATTTAGTGTATATAAAATAACATGACTGCACTTTGTGCCTTGTAATTCACTCAATGGACTTTGGCCACTGACCACTGTTAGTTCTATATACTAGGTTACCCACAGTGCTGCCTTTGACAGCAAATGACAAACTACAGGGTGTTGAACGAGTCGTTCAGAAACATCCTATTGTTATCCTTGTTAACCCATTTATTGACAGTACCCTACCACTGACTGAGTATTAAAAATCGTCTGGCGTTAGACAGGGTAAATACTAAAGTAGGGGCCATTACTGTGTTGATGAATTAACAAGAGCCATTGGCAGATAGGTTTGTTAACCCATTTACAGGCAGTACCCTATACCACTGACGAGTAAAATCTTCGGGCGTTGGACAAGGGAAGGGTGCATTGCCAGCTAATGGGTTAAACCACCGTGGTTAAACATAAGATTTCATGATGCTCCAGGAAATGTAAACAAGCTATCAGTGTGACATCCCAGTTTATATATTTACATACTCGGAATATTGATTTATCGGTATATACAAAATTATTTTAAAGTATAACAACCAGCGAAGACGTAAGCCACTAACTACCCTGTGCGGCTGCGCGCAGACTATATAATGATATATATATATATATATATGTCATCCGTCCGGTCCGTCCGTCGCCATCCGTCCGTCCGTCATTCATCCGTCCGTCCGTATCCGCGTTTTATCCTAATCCGTTTTTAAAACACAAAGTTGGTTCGTCATGATCAACATTTTCAAAAGCGGCCAATTAGACCAGGGGTTAAAGGGCAATGACAATGACATGCAGGTGACATTTAACATTGCGTCTCACTAATTAAAATTTGCGTGTTTAATAATGTTTATCAAAGAAAGCAAAAATGTATACAAGACAATCTCACATGTGGAATTTTTTCACTTACGTACTGCCTTGTGATGCAGTACAAGTATAAATATAAATGACAAAGCATTTGTAAATTCTAAAACATAATTAAAAAATCATACGGCACATTTAAGATTTTAATATCGTATTTCAACCGCGTTTATACTGTTTGGCGCATTCACTGCGTTATATTAAATTATATACACAGAAAAGCATGTCATTGTCCATGCAGACCATAGGCAAAAAGCATTTGTCAACCACATACCAAATTTAAGCAATCGTTAAATCATATACATGTCATGGAAAGAATATGGAAATAATGTTGAATGAAAGCTAACATCGCATATGGTGCTCGAACCACTGCGTATAATTGCAAAAGCACGGCGTATATAAATGGTGAAAGCACCGCGTATAATACTGGAACCACCGCGTATATTGGCGAAAGCACCGCCGTATAATGCCGAAAGCACCGCCGTATAATGCTAAAAGCATCCAACAAAATGCCGTTTGATCACTCTAAGCCAGCTATGGCTTTCCATAAAAGAATACCAAAGATGAAAGATGATCACATTGCCTGTTTGCCTTATGCCTGACCGCGCTGCACCACGGTTAAAATTCACTGGTACCGTCATGCAATGCGCCAAATAGAAAATTTTGATTTCGACCCACAAAACAAAATTAGGATCTGCTGCCTTGCTCGCTCGCTTCAGGCTCGCTCGCTGCGGCAGCAATTATTAGAAAGTTTTGGTTTCTTAGGTTAATTTAATTACGGTGTAAATAATGTGGTATCGTAAATGCGCCTAGCAGTATTAGACTTAATATGAAATCCAATAGCAAAAACTTGTGTTAAGGCCTATAATTTACCTGTCCACTTGCATGGTCTTGGAAATATTATATATTCTGGCTGTAGGGAGTGTAGGCTATGCGTCTTAAGCTTTGTCATTTATATTTGTACGCGTACTAAAGCAGCGCGTATTAATTCGTCAGATTCCACTTGCATGGTCTTGGAAATATTATATATTCTGGCTGTAGGGAGTGTAGGCTATGTCTTAAGAATGCTTTGTCGTTTGAATTTATACGCGTACTTAAGCAGCGCGTAATTCAACAGATTCCACTTGGTCTTGGAAATATTATTATTCTTGCTCATGCTTTAGTGAATATTACTTCCATAAACATTAGTAACACGCAAGTATTCAATGAGACGCACATGTTGAATTTTTCAGTTTTATTATTATTATTTTATAATAAAAATGGCGCTTGCCATTTCATTTGCCTTGCGAGATGGCGCTTGCCATGATCTCAATAGAGGCAGAGGAGGCAAGAAAGCTTTCCGTTGACAAAATGATTGATGAGTTTGCTGAAAAAAGAACAGGTGCGAGAAATTTAACCCTAACCCTAAGATGTAATGCTAAAAGTGATTTTGTCATTAATTGAGGATTAATTGATGAAAATGATTAATTGAGGATGTATGTGCATAATTACAGTGACAAACATTTCACTTTTTATGTCAAAAACAATTTCCGCATAGTGCTATTTTATAGTTGTGTTTTTTATATTTTGCTATATATTTATATTTCCAGTTTAAAAAAATCCATTAAAATTGGCTTCTAAACGACTAGCAAAATGTTCATATTGTCAGAACTTCATGTTCAAAAAGATATATGATCCCCCGCCTTGGGGGCACCCAATCCCGGTAGGACCAGGGGCAGCCTGGTCCAAACTTACGCCACTGTTGTGTTGCTTCAGTCACCTGCTCACGGCTCACCCCCCTAAAATTTCTGGCACAACCCCATTAAAAAATATGAAAATCCGTCTATGGATTAATACATCTCTATTTATTTATTTATTTAGCTTTGCCACAACAGCCTATGCCAACTACGGTTCGCCCTTTTACCTAACCCACCCTGTCATCTTTCCCTGTGAGAGGAAACTGGAATACCCGGAGAAAACCCTTTTAACTCTTTTCACATGAGGACTGGGTTCGAGTCGCATTGGGGAAGTTCCCACTGAGGCTTGAACCTGCGGCCTTACAGGTGAAAGGCAAGTGCGCTAACCACTTGGCCACCGAAACATGACAACTTGTCACGACTTGTGAAATATGAATCGCAACAAACCTTCACAAATCATTTGATTACATTTGATCTGTGCTGTATACGGAGAACGCTTGAAATACACGCGGTTTAAATCAAAATGTACTTTATATATGCAATCACATATATTTAGAAACGGACGGCAACACATGCACAAGAGTCTAAATGCAGTGAACCATATATAACGGTTTTAGGAATGTTCGAATTTATTTCAAATATAGAACTTTAAAAACTAAATGTGATATTAACTAATTTGACAAGTTTTATTATTTTTAGAAATGACTGCAGTTAATAAATCTGCTCCACTTATATCCACCCTAATAGTCAGGCAGATAGAGGACCAAAATTATGGAAAACTTACCATATCGTGGGACAATTCCATTTTGCCTTCATATTGTGCCCTGAATGCTAGTAAGTACGTTTCTGTATATTGGCCGCGTTAAAATTTCTTGTGGGCTCCTGCCGACACGTTTTTCTTCGAATTTTGTATTAAACTCTATTACAGTTAAAAAATGTGAAATTTCTGATATATTTCTAATATAAATTACTTGCATCAATAGAAAGCTAACAAAAAACTACATATGAAACATTTAAATGGTTAGTTGGTATTTTCAAGCGGTTGCCGTTTCAAATTTGAAAAATAAGCCAAAATCTCGCAAAATTCTTGGGTACTAGTCTGAAAACACGCATTCAACAGCTCATAACTCAAGACGAACTTGAAAAGCCCGGGTAACCGTTTAAATGTCTTATATGTAGTGTAACCGTTTAAATGTCTTATATGCAAGCTTTCAAATGATGTAAGTCATTTGTGTTAGAAATGTATTTGAATTAAATATCCCCTTTTTTAACTGTAATAGAGTTTAATACAACATTCGAAGAAAAACGTGTCGGAAGGAGCCCACAAGAAATTTCAACGTGGCCAACATACAGAAACGTACTAACTAGCCTTCAGGGCACAATATGAAGGCAAATTGGAATTGTCTCACGATAACGTAAGTTTTTTCCTTCTATCTGCCTGACTATAACGACAAATTGCGCTACATCCCCAAATCTGGGATGTCACGTGACAAGACTGAACAGGGTTTCGCCCACTGAGGTCTCGCCGTAGCAGGTGGGGGGGGGCATGGCGGAGGTGAAACCCTGTGAAACAGGTTGGGTCCACGTGGCTCACGTTGGTTCTTCTCGGCTGTCCTAGGTTTCACTAGCCTCTGCTTTGTTCTACTTGGTTTTCCTTGGTCCTACTTGATTCTATTTGGTTCTATGTGATTCTCCTCATGGTTTTCCTGTTACCAAGGAGAACCAAGGAGATCCAACGAGAGCCAATTAGAACCAACGTAAACCAAGTAGAACCAAGTGGAACCAAATAGAACCAAGGACTCAGAATTTCTAATATCTATCTTCCTATATCCGTGTCATTTATAAAACAGTTAGGGCGCTGCACGGGAATCACAGGGCCACAGGTTCGATTCCTACCAGAAGGCGTATAGTTGTATTTTTCGCAACTGCTGCTGGTTAGGTCTAACAGGGTTCGTATAGCGGTCTTTGAAATCCTTGAAAGTCTTTAAATTGGAATGCAGGTCTTTGACTTTGAGGTCTTTGAAAAGTCTTTAAATTGTGTGAAAAAGCGAAGAAAGTCTTTAAAAGTCTTTAAATTCTTTAGTGAGGAATTGATTATACGATTTCCTAACTAATAAAATAGATTGATTGAATTAAGATTTTTGCAAATATCGAGGAAAATGCGCATTTTAGGATGTGATTTCACGGGACTAATTACTGGGTAAAAATGGTGCTTACACTCGCAATTTTTCGACAGCTGATTGCTCTCAAAGGCCTTTGAAAAGTCTTTGAAAATAGGCAGAAAAAATCTTTGAAAGTCTTTGAATTTTTTTGGTCTTGGAGACTACGAACCCTGTTTAATAAATGTGTAAAATTCGCACTCGAAATTTCCATCTACAAAACCCTTCTACATCTGTAGCTTTATTTACGTCTCATAATTTTGATTTCCTCTTGTTTATTTGCAGATCGACAATGCTGATTTCCCTAATATTGGTGATTTTTCCTGTGATCAATCGCTCAAAAAGGCATCCTGTACATTTGTCAGTAATCAAAAAAATTTAGGAGCATTTGGAATTAAGAAGTGCGATGCATTTGGTGAGCTCTGTAAAGGATTTGTGGCTAACCAAGGAATGAAGACTGTTACTTTGAAACAAACGTTTTATGGCAAGAACAGTTTCTCTGCGGGAATGACTATATTTGTGAAGAAAACCTACATATCTCTTGTAAATATCACAGGAATGTTTGAAGCGTGTGCTGATTCATTGGTATGTGTATTTTATTTTCACTCTGAACAGAATGGAACTTGGATTCAATAGAATCCTTCCAGTCAGAATGCTCAAGGTTGATCCGATTACCGTGACTATGTATTTTAAATATGTGCACAAGAGGACTAGGAATTAGTTTGAGTAATGCCCACAGTAATATAATTAGCGATTTAGATGTTTTCGCGTATCCATACAGACGGTCGATAACAAGGGCGAAACGATTTAGATGTACACTAACGTTACATGCGTGCGCACATTTTTTTTTGAAACTGTTGTGAGTTTTGCATTTTCAAAAGAATACTTATGTATGCTAATATGCAGACCTATGGTGTAAACGAGGCCTTAGGCCCCTGATGCACTTCTCATACACCTTGTGGCCGTCTGGGTGATCTTGTGGACGTCTGTTTGTTATCCTCCAATTGTTGTGTTTGGTTAAATTCATGTACTGTCAACACTGATCATCATTTATTTTATATATCACGATTTTGGGCATCTACATGCAACTATAGGCCCTCTGTGGCCCTGCGATTCTGGTGCAGGTTCAATTCCTGCCAGAAGGCCCATTTTTCGCAGCTGTTAGATCTAAGAAATGTATAAAATCCACACTTTTTATTTTATATATGCAGCATTTATCTACCCCATGCCATGCCTCCATCAGATAGCTCGGCTATTATGATACGTTTCGTGTTTATTACATTTTTTCAGAAAAGTGAAGATAATAAAGCGGCAGACTCTAAGAAAAGAAGATGTAATCTTGCTAATCTTGATCCATTTGATAAAAGTATAATGGGAGTAATGTTTAAACCTGACAGTTTCACATGTTCTGGTCAGAAGGACTTAACACTTTATGAAAGTGGAACATTAAGAATTAATCCTGAACTAAAAGGTAATACACTCAGACGAAGTACTAATTCTGTACTAATTAGGTGATCATTAATATAATTGTATTGTACGAAAGTGTAATCGCGTAGGATATGCGTGCTATTTTTTTATTTTTGCTTTTACTGGATGTCAAATTATTAATACGCTCAAATTGTTGGCCTTTTGATATACGGGGGGCTAGCTGATATGATAGCTAGGGGATTCGGTGGTGCAGTCGTCAGAGCAAGCGCCTTCACTTCTCAGAACGACTGGGTTAGATTCTCGCTATATGGGCCCATATGAAAAGAATCAAAATCGTGGGTTTTCTCCGGGTGCTCCGGTTTCCTCCCACAGGGAAAGTTGCATGACAGGGTGGGTTAGGAATAAACACAGTTATATAGGAAAGTAATCGCAATTGTTGTAAAGATAATTAATCTACACGCGTAAAAATCATCATGTTGTTG